GCTGCTGCCTTCAGGCTCAACTGAAACGGTGCTGGAGGGTCCGGTCACGGTGCGTGGGCGCTGCGCACGGGTGTTCTCACTTCGTTCCTCATCATCAGCACCATCAACACCCTCGCCCTCTCCGTTCCTCTCAGCCTCCCCAGCATCCGCTGCACCTTGTGCCAACCACTCCCGCATAATGCTGTCCACCCGTGACCAGTCCATGGGTCCTAATATCCTCTCCTTTCGGCCCCTCTGGACACGCGTCACTTTTCGCACCCGGATGCGATAAGCTTTGACGAGCCGGTCCATGCAGCTGTTCCAATGCAGCACGGCTAAGGCTATGCGTGCCTCCATGCTGCCTCTGAAACGCAGCCGCTTGGGTGCATACTTGCAAACAAGTGAGTGGAAAGACTCGTTCAGTGAGCTGTTTGTGCCATGAATCAATGTTGCCACTTGGGTTGGCCCGAGCCGTGATTTGAACCATTCACGAACAGCCAAGTGGGTAGGTGATCCAGACGCGTATACAGCACTCTCTTCCCCCCACCCTTCCGAAATACAGCGTGGAGGCATGGTTCCCACACGTCGGCAGCGAGTATGGTCACCTGCCCAGTGATCTGCAGCAAGCCCCAACTCCTCAGACACCTGCTCCGGCGTCATCGGGTCTCCCTCGCTGGCCTTGGTGGCAGCCCGCATCATGCAGTGCTTGAAATGCACGCTAAAGCGTTGACCAACAGAGAACACCAATTTCTTGCTACCATCGCTCCCTCCAGCAGGGATCGCACTGGTACCTTCCCCGCGTGCCCGCTTCTTTGAGCTACGTTTTGACCACCGTCGCTGATCCTTGCTCTTGATGCTGGAGATGCCATCCAGCCCTCCTGCAAGTCCCCAATATATGAGCATCAGGACATTAGAGGCTGATTGTGTTGCAGTGGTAGTGCACACGGCACATGCCATGTGCATTCATGGCTGAAGAGGTGTATACGGGGCTGGAGTGGTGGTAATGAGCTATGTCCAGGGCTGGAGTGGTGGTAATGAGCTATGTCCAGGGTTGGAGTGGTGGTAATGAGCTATGTCCAGGGCTGGAGTGGTGGTAATGAGCTATGTCCAGGGTTGGAGTGGTGGTAATGAGCTATGTCCAGGGTTGGAGTGGTGGTAATGAGCTATGTCCAGGGTTGGAGTGGTGGTAATGAGCTATGTCCAGGGCTGGAGTGGTGGTAATGAGCTATGTCCAGGGCTGGAGTGGTGGTAATGAGCTATGTCCAGGGTTGGAGTGGTGGTAATGAGCTATGTCCAGGGTTGGAGTGGTGGTAATGAGCTATGTCTAGGGCTGGAGTGGTGGTAATGAGCTATGTCCAGGGCTGGAGTGGTGGTAATGAGCTATGTCCAGGGCTGGAGTGGTGGTAATGAGCTATGTCCAGGGCTGGAGTGGTGTTAATGAGCTATGTCCAGGGCTGGAGTGGTGGTAATGAGCTATGTCCAGGGCTGGAGTGGTGGTAATGAGCTATGTCCAGGGCTGGAGTGGTGGTAATGAGCTATGTCCAGGGCTGGAGTGGTGGTAGTGAGCTATGTCCAGGGCTGGAGTGGTGGTCTGTGAGCGGCTGGAGTGCACAAAATGAGCTCTGTGGGGGGGCTGAAATGGTGAGAATGAGCAGTGAGAGTGGCTGAAATGGTGTGACCGACATGACATTAGATCTGTGAGTATGTGTAAGAGTGCTAAACTTACCTTCTTGATTGGCCGATGCGGGTAAAAGATCTGCCACACGCTCCATGAAATCCGTCTCTTCGTGTGCACCATTGCACGCAAGTGTTACCACCAATGACGCCTGAGATGACGGTCGCAATCCGTGCACTGGGTGGATGTCGTATTGCCACAATTCTTCCACATCCGGCCAACAAACATCCACCGGCACTGGTCCTTCTAGCATCTCCACTACATCACCGCCCTCTCTAGGCCCATCCTGATGACCCCCCATGCCACGACTATGTATTAGCGACAGCATAACAGGTACGTCCACTTGGTCCGCCTCCTCCTCCTCATCTCGCTCCTCCAATTCCCTCACTCTTTGATCGGCCCCCAGCACGCTTGCTGCGTTCACAACCTTATGCAAGTCAGGATGTTCACATTTTGCATCTGCCGGATCCACAAACCGGTACTTGATTCCGAGCTCAGTGCAAACGTCCTCGATCAATTTGTCTTTTCCATTGGACCCACCCACCTTGCTTGGGGCCTTCTTCTGCAACCACCCTTTTAGCTTCACGACCGTATGCATATGAAGGTCCTCTACGACCTGAGCCTCATCAATTTGGACCACAGCCCTTACACGGTTTTGCAGATCGTTTTTGAAGCTCTTGACCAGTGACCGCCTCTTGTGCCACCAGTCGTGCTGGTGTCCCACCCCTCTATCCGCAGCCACAGTCTTGAATGTACTACCCTCGTCCGTAACAATACCAGCCACTTCAAACCCCACATTCTTGAAATAGTCCATGCCTAAGTTGAATGCAACGCTTTCTAGCCTAGGGGATGAAGGATCATGGACATACTTCTTCGTATTTTCGACATGCACAATTTTCCTACTCTCGGGATGCAGAAAAGACACACAGCACCACTCCGCCTCTCGAGCTTGGCTAAATCTACCATCTACGCTAATATATCCCACCCCACCAGCCCTCTTAGACAAGCTATCACGCACTACTTCCATAGAAACCTGGGCTGCACGAATGATAGCCTTCCACAAACCCTTTTCACCCTGCAACAGTCGGTAAAATGTCGTTTTTCCAGGAGTTGGCATTCCGAGGTTGCGACACACTTCCCACATCACTTGAAACCCTAACCCTCCGAGGGCAAACGCACCCACAAACTTTGGCATCAGCTGTATAGACCTTGGTCCGGTCCGCTTCTCATTAGGGGGGTTTTCCTTCTTCGGGCTTGTCCATATCTCCGTGCGGGTAGGGCATGTACTACAGTGCCAATACAGTCCTAGTGAAGCCCATGTAGTTTTCCATGACACGAGGGACATGCTCCCGCCGCAGGCTTTTCTTGTGCAACTGATACGAAGTGGTGCTAATGCTTCTAGCATGTGTCTTGGCTCCAAGAAACATACCATGTACGGTGACATGTACTTGACGGCTGGAGCACATGGCCACCCTCTCGGGACTGGAACTGGAGTATCCTTGAGGGGCCCATCCTGATGAGTATTCCTGGAGGGCCCATAGGCAGGGCGCAATGGGAGGGCACACTCCAGGTCGCAATGGGATGGCACAAGGCATGGCGCAATGGGAGGGCACAAGGCAGGGCGCAATGAGAGGGCACAAGGCAAGGCGCAATGGGAGGGCACAAGGCATGGCGCAATGGGAGGGCACAAGGCAGGGCGCAATGGGAGGGCACAATCCAGGTCGCAATGGGAGAGCACAAGGCAGGGCGCAATGGCACGTGGCAAGGGTGCGTGTGACTGCATGCTGCCAAAGGTGCGTGTGACTGCATGGTGCCAAAGGTGCATGTGACTGCATGGTGCCAAAGGTGCGTGTGACTGCATGGTGCGCCAAAGGTGCGTGCGCATGTGACTACATGGTGCCAAAGGTGCGTGCGCATGGGGCTGCATGGTGCCAAAGGTGCGTGCATGTGTCTGTATTCTTATGAGCTCATGCACACGTGCGGGCATGTGTGGGTGTGTGAGGGCTCGTGGATGCTCGAATGTCTTCACTTTCCACCTATTCATTCAATACCACCCCTAGTTTTACACCTCATTCAACCAACCCCATCTACGCACTGTCTCACCTTTGGGCTTGATCTGGTACGCCAGCTGCATGGAGTACCGCGTGCTCTTGGCTGCTTTCAGTGCTAACAATCGTGCAAGGATGAGGCTGCAGGCTTGGAGCAACCCCCTCTGTTTCAGCTCCTGTTGATTGGGCAACATCTGCACACACGCCATGTATCAGATGCATTAGGGTATACACGCACTTGCATTCAGACTCTAGTTCAGTTTCGCTTCATAAACAGTACAGCCTTCACAAACCCTCCGTCTGAAGCATGCTGCATGGTTGTATGGCCAACATAGCATACTCTTGTGCCAACGCCACGATGTTGCTCACCTTGTCCACGCACGCTCTCGAAGGCTTTACCCCTTCGGGCCCCACCCCAACCGTTTCCACGAACAGGGCGTATTTTCCCCTTCTTATCCTCTTTGTAGGGCGGGAAGTTGTAAACCAGACCCTCTATTGGGCAATCTGCCTTCTCCACTATCCCAGTTACGGCGTTAATACCACTGTTTGCCCGTGCATCGAACTGGCGCCCGTATGCCTCAAGGTGAAGCTCTGCCGTCGCCAATGCATCTCCCCCATGTGTTCCTGCCACGGAACAACGGTGACACCAAGTACACCCCATCCATTATTGTGTGGCTGCTTGTGCCGTTGTGATGCGCAAAACAATCAGATTGCTCAACTATCACGGACACACGACCATGCTATGACTTGATCACCAACTTTCCACCCTTACCTGCTTCTTTGGCAGCCCGCATCAGCCGTTTGTACGCTGTAGGGGCGTTCATCATGAAGTAGTAAAGAACATCAGCAGTTGTCGCCTCGGTCTTCCCCCCCATCAATGCCGACAACCCGCATCGTTGAAGGCATATGACTGGCCTCATATGCTTGGATATGCCGTGAACCGCCTTGTCATGCTCGTCGCTAAGATTCGCTACAGTGGACCCTCCACTTGCTCTTGCATCCGTCTGCCTCCCACGCCTGAAGGTTGGGTTTGGAAATGGTGTATAGATTTGCACGGTTTGGAATCGATGGCTGGATATGCGTTACAAGGGAGACCCCAACAGCCAAATACAATGACGGACAACTTGTATGTCCTGCGCGACAATGCTGGGCGTGCGCGCAGATTCAGTAGCATCCTGCGCGACAATGCTGGTGTTGATGGTGCTGGTGAGTGGGTGGTGTTGATGGTGTGGTGAATGGGTGGTGTTGATGGTGCTGGTGAGAATGAGGCGCAGATGGGAGGGCGAACCTAGGATGAAATGGGTCGCTGCAAGATAGGAGGGCATGCACAGTCGGAAAGGTGGTGTGGCCCTAGTGGTGTGGGAAAATCGGACCAGGGGAAGTGGGGCATTGGATGGGGGGAAGTGGGGGATTGGACGGGGGGACGTGGGGGATTGGACGGGGGGGAGTGGGGCATTGGATGGGGGGAAGTGGGGGATTGGATCAGGGGAAGTGGGGGATTGGATGGGGGGAAGTGGGGGATTGGATCGGGGGAAGTGGGGGATTGGATCGGGGGAAGTGGGGGATTGGATCGGGGGAAGTGGGGGATTGGATCGGGGGAAGTGGGGGATTGGATCGGGGGTAGTGGGGGATTGGACGGGCAGGTGTGGTGGAAAGGAAAGGGTAGTGCGGGGAAGGACGAGGTGGAGGGGGGGAAAGGGAGGGTAGGACTGGGGGACAGGGAGGGTGTTTGTAGGGGAAATAGAGATCGCAGGGTGTAGAAGGGGGTGAGCAAGTGTGGAAGAGAGTGAGCCGTGTGTTGAAGGGGGTGAGGAAAGGGGGAAAGAGAATGACCAGGGTGGTGAAGGGGGTGAGGAAAGGGGGAAAGAGAATGACCAGGGTGGTGAAGGGGGTGAGGAAAGGGGGAAAGAGAATGACCAGGGTGGTGAAGGGGGTGAGGAAAGGGGGAAAGAGAATGACCAGGGAGGTGAAGGGGGTGAGGAAAGGGGGAAAGAGAATGACCAGGGTGGTGAAGGGGGTGAGGAATGGGGGAAAGAGAATGACCAGGGTGGTGAAGGGGGTGAGGAAAGGGGGAAAGAGAATGACCAGGGTGGTGAAGGGGGTGAGGAAAGGGGGAAAGAGAATGACCAGGGTGGTGAAGGGGGTGAGGAATGGGGGAAAGAGAGTGCGCAGGGTGTAGAAAGGGGTGAGCAGGGTGTAGAAAGGGGAGAAGAGAATGACCAGGGTGGTGAAGGGGGTGAGGAAAGGGGGAAAGAGAATGACCAGGGTGGTGAAGGGGGTGAGGAAAGGGGGAAAGAGAATGACCAGGGTGGTGAAGGGGGTGAGGAAAGGGGGAAAGAGAATGACCAGGGTGGTGAAGGGGGTGAGGAAAGGGGGAAAGAGAATGACCAGGGAGGTGAAGGGGGTGAGGAAAGGGGGAAAGAGAATGACCAGGGTGGTGAAGGGGGTGAGGAATGGGGGAAAGAGAATGACCAGGGTGGTGAAGGGGGTGAGGAAAGGGGGAAAGAGAATGACCAGGGTGGTGAAGGGGGTGAGGAAAGGGGGAAAGAGAATGACCAGGGTGGTGAAGGGGGTGAGGAATGGGGGAAAGAGAGTGCGCAGGGTGTAGAAAGGGGTGAGCAGGGTGTAGAAAGGGGAGAAGAGAATGACCAGGGTGGTGAAGGGGGTGAGGAAAGGGGGAAAGAGAATGACCAGGGTGGTGAAGGGGGTGAGGAAAGGGGGAAAGAGAATGACCAGGGGGAAGTGGAGGCGACGGGAGGGGGAAGTGGAGGCGACGTGAGGGGGAAGTGGAGGCGACGGGAGGGGGAAGTGATGGCGACAGTAGGGGGAAGTGGAGGCGACGTGAGGGGGAAGTGAAGGCGACGTGAGGGGGAAGTGATGGCGACAGTAGGGGGAAGTGATGGCGAAGGTGGGTGCATGGGAGATGGTCGAGTGGCGTCGCTATTTATTGGGCGAAAGTGAGGTTTCCCACGTAGTGCCATATGACGTTATCCGCGCTGGCATTCAGTGTTTGATATTTCGCCGCATTCCGATGCTTTCAGTTTCGCGCCGACGTTCGTGCTGTGTCCAGGGTTTTTTCGTACCTTCGAGAAGCATCCTTTCCAGGGCGACGGGCCATATTCCCTATCTCGCCGTCTCGAATGAAGTGGTTCTGTTTGTTGATGACGGTCGTGTGACGTTTTTTATCTCAACTGCAACCTTTATGGCTGTCGTAATGCTAAGGATTTGGTAGTTTTATCATCCGCGACGCAAGTGTGCTTGCTCGTGCCGCCTACTATAGTTGGCTGCTGTATGCAGTATCAAGCACTAGCGGGCCTCATGGTTGGTTGTCGAAAGCCTAGGTCATGGTGTTGTGTGTGTGGCAGCGCAAGAGCTGCGAAAGTGTTGTGTTGTGTGATTTTTGGTCGCGGTGTGTGGTGCGCCGTGCGACAATTTCTATTGGCTGGTTTTCTGTTGTTAGACTCGGCTGTTCGCTAAAAAATTCGCGATTTCGCTTACTGGGTGTGCCTTCTTTCGGCTCCCAACTTTCCCTTTCACACCCCTCGCCACCCGTTTTTCCCCTGGGCCAAGTTTTAAAAACTTGTGCAATTTGGGCCAACGGCTTTAAAACCCGCGTCTCATATTTACAAACGTATTACACTTGGTTGGGAGTTGGGGCCTGGGATTGGTGCACGAGCAGCGAAGTCTTGCACGAGAGGACGGGTGACTTAGGCGAAACCTCTACACTGTTCCCTCAACACCAAGCCTACCGCCCTAACCTGTTGACACACCCAAACCAGTGATAACAGGGTCGTGGGGTTTGACACTCCATGCGACAAACACAGACGACGAAAACAGGGCACACATTTACGAGAGTTGTCATTCTCCCTCATCACACAAGCCCCTTTGCAGTCGCTGCGAGAGAAGCACCCGGCTAGCGCTGGCGAGGTACCACAGTGGGTCCGCGATTTCACCATCGATACTGCTCAGCGGCCTTCACTCACGACCGACATCCTGGTCAGAGCTATCCATACAGCCGCTCGAGCTTCAGCAGCAGGGCCATCGGGGTGGGTCACAGAGCATCTGCGCGACACCTTCCTCACTGAACCTTCCTGCCTTTCCCACTTGTTGGAAGTGTTCAACCAATGGGTGGCAGGACAGGTCCCCAAGCGGGCTCGGCCGTGGCTCGCCGCATCCAACCTAGCCGGGCTTTCCAAGCCTAACGGCGACGTCCGGCCGGTGGCGATCGGGGAGGTGCTTCCTCGTATCCTTGCTCGAGCTCTCTGCATCTCGCTCCGCCTTGCAATGGTTTCCTACTTCCTGCCGTGCAACCAGCTGGGAGCGGGCACCAGGGTCGGGGCGGAGATTCTTACTCACTCTTTCCGGTCAGCGCTGGCCACTCACCCCGACAGGTGTGCGCTACAGATAGACGTCACAAATGCCTTCAATTCGTTTCACCGTCATGTGATGTTGGATGGGCTGCGGGAGTCGCCTTTCTCAGGGATGATCCCATTCTTGCGTGTCTTTTATGGGACACCTAGCGACCTGTACCTCTGAGCAGGCCCTTTCGTACAGAGCCTCGAGTCAGCACGGGGATCGAGGCAGGGGGACCCGCTCGGCCCTTTTCTTTTCGCGTTCACTCAGCAGCAGGTGATGGAGCCAGTTACTAGGGAGTTCAAGGACCTGCTTTTCCTCAGCTATGCAGACGATACCTATATTTTGGGGCCAGCGGCTAGGATTCTGGAGGCTTTTGGGGTGCTTCGGGAGCGGTTGGAGTGGGTGGGGCTGGAGGTGCAGGCGCACAAGTGCCGGTTTTGGGAGCGCGAGGGCAAGGAGGTGGAGCGGGCACTGCCATTGGGGATGCAGCGGGTGGATGAGGGTCTTACTGTGGTGGGCGTGCCTATTGGAGAGGAGGTTTGGGAGGTGGTCCGGCTACGGGAGCGGCTTCGACAGTTGCAGGCGCCACTGCCATGGCTCCCCTTGCTCGACCACCCCCAGATGGCTTCACACCTCCTCGCCATTGCAGTTTCAGCGCGGCCGATGTACCTCGCCCGGACTATGCCGTCGCGTCCGGAGGTAGTTGAGGCTTTTAGGGATTGGGACAGCTGTTTAGAGGATTGCTTTGAGCAGCTTTTTCCACCTGGCACTTGGGAGCAGGACCCCGACCGGTCTAGGCGCGCACGCATACAGCTGCATCTCCCTGTGCGTCTCGGAGGGTTCGGGATCCGGGCGGCGACCTCTTTGAGCCCACTGTCCTATGTTTGTGGGTGGGCGCAGGCCGCGCGTGACATTGCACAGTTAGGGGTGGCGGGTGAGGAGGCGATGTTTGCAGAGTACCTCACCACTTCGACAGGGGCAGATTTTCTTGACCCGTGGTTTGTCAAGGCTCTTGAGCAGCTGCCAGCGACTATCCGCCACGAGATACCGGGCTTACCTCTGTGTGTAGCGGCCCCTCCTGTTCGGCTTTTCCAGGCGCGGCAGCGGCAGTTAGCTGTAGAGGAGCTCCAGGCACTGCGCCGCTTGGCTCGTGACGATGCCACCTTGGCCCGTTTCACATCCCTTCAGGGCCCGGGGGCAGGTGCATGGGTTTCGGCGGTTCCGGCTCACTCAGATCTCACATTCACTACGGCTGAGTGGGGCATTGCTGCTGCTATACGGCTCGGCCTCCCAATCCAGCAGCTGCAGGTGGCGCGGAGGTGTGTTTGTGGCACAGCGTTTGTTGACCCAGCAGATCCGCACCATGCCCTGAGATGCAGGCATCAGCATGGTCCTTCTCGGGTGCATGATGAGGTGAAGTTTGCGGTGGCGAAGATCTCTAAGGCGTCGGGGGGGGGGGGGGGGGGGGGGGGTGGTGACAATGGAGGATAGTGTGGTGCTGCATGGGAAGCGGGTTGATGTGGCGGTGCGACGTCCAATGGCTGGAGAGGCTCACGCCCTAGAGATCAGCGTCGCGGACCTGCTATCGCTGTCTCCATCACTGCTGGGACAGTGCGGGCGTCAAATAGGTGTGGCGGCAAGGGAGTGGGAGCGCCGCAAAACGAGTGACTACGCGCCTCTACTTGCACGCAACCGGGGCGTGCAGTTCACCCCTTTGATAGTTGAGACGTGGGGGTGTCTTGGCGGTCGTTTTCAGCGGTGGCTTCGTGTGAGAGTACGACGGCTTATGCCAGCTATGCTTGCTTGCCTTTACTTTATCATGCTATTTCTAGCATAGGATAATTATATGCATGCATGAATTGCTTGATTTCCTAGGCTAGGTGCTTTCCTATATTTTATTATAGTTATAGCACCGAGCTAGGTTGCGTGCACCGAATTCTGGCTTTTCGGTTCCCACCGAATTGCCTTCTACCGAATTCAGTAAGGATCCGTTCGGGACGCTACACGGCCCGCGGAACCTTCGCGTAACACCTGGTTAAGGGGCCTTGTGTCGAGCCTATATATAGCCTCGTGTTGTACCCAGGTGGACATTCAATTCAATTCGACTCAATTCTCATTCTCTTTTCTGAACTCAATCCTAGATCCTCACACTTCGTCAGCAGGGGGATGCGCACGTGGGACTAGCTGTGTCGCGGGGGGCTTGTCGAGAGGACGACTCTGTGTTTTCGTCTTATCTTTTAGGTTCACTGAAGGCGCTCATCGGGGTGGCGTTACAACGGGCGCAAGCCCGTGTCATCCTGCTTCGAGCAGCGTCTTCCATGGGGGGGATTAACGTAGATTTGGTGGATCGAAAGAGGGACGATGTCGATGTGGAAGGCGGGGCTCTCTGGGTGGAGGCCCCGTACATGGTCGATATGTTGATGTGATTGAAGGGGGGGGGCGGATGGGGTGTGGGATGGGATGTCTTGATGGGGTGTCTTGACTGGGCGTTTTGATTGGGAATCTTGAGTGGGGGTTCTATGTGAGCTGCATTTGGGTTCTTTTTGGCAGTTTCATCTTCCAACTTCCTTAGCCAACTAGTCTACATCGACCACCTGACCCGACTGTTCGCCAACTCATCGGAGGGAGGGAGGATGGCTTCCTGCTGACACACTCAATTCTCACTACCAACAAAGGACAGGAGCACCAATCTTTGGCACGAGGGACTTCTTTGGCGCCGAGATTCATTTTCTATACCCTTTACCAAGGCATGCGAGATATCGAAAGTTGAAGTTGTAAATTTATTGGACATTTATTTTACAGTCCCATATAAAACACAAGCCCCTTCCCGTTTTACCTGGACACACCGTCATACTCTACAAAGAATCCGGCCGATTAACAATGATAAACCTATCCACAAGCATTGCCTGATGTACTTGCCAGAGACACACTTTTAGCATTACTATGCGCATTGCGCCGCGTTACCTGCGGGATCCTTGAGCAATGCGCGAAGAATGTTTCTGCGCATTGTTTAGGGTTTGATCGAGCATGGTGGGGGCATTGCAAGTACTCCTTACGAGGCCACTGTTATGGAGGCAGACCGCGTTCCAGAGGCGGACTTTCGACCCACCGAGAAGTTCGACACGCTGATGGAGGTTTTCCACTTCATCACCGGATGCAACGACGGGCATGGATTGTCCAACGACAGCACCGTCTGGCTGCTGAATCTACTGAAGGAGGAACGTCTAAACCTTGCGCTGCTCCAGCACTGGCACACCCTGCATGCCGTCGTGCAGTATGGCATGTCTAAGCTCATGGCGACGCGCGAGTATGAAACCCACACGTTTACCCTGCCGAACTGGGCCACACCCTTCGAGGTCACGGCGACCAGTGGTAAAGAGGTGAGCGACATAACGGTGCATTGCAATGTGCATGAGGTGGTTGTTTCAGCGCTGAATCGTCGTCCCGCTTTGTCGTGCTGAATCCACCCCATCTTGCAGGCTGTCCTAGAGCTGCTACGGAACCCCGCCAACGCGGAGGGGTTCGTTCTCTTTCCACGTGAAGAGAACTCGGGGGCTGGTCGCATGTACTCCACACCTGAGACAGCTACTTATTGGGAGGAAGCCCAGCCTGCCGCGGTGGCGATGTTCGGCGAAGGGACGGTTGTGATTCCCCTCATCCTCTCCAGTGACGCCACCATGCTAAGCGGAAACGAGCGTACCAAGGTGAGGGCGGTGTACATCAGCATCGCCAACATCCCTCTCTACCGCCGTTGGCAAGAGTGTGGCAAGCTGCTGTTGGCGATGTTGCCGTTTCCGCCGAGCCAGATGAGCTCAACCGAGAAGACGGCGTTGTTCCAGGCTGCGATGAAGATCGTGCTGGCCGACCTCATCGTGGCGTCACACACGTGAGTGTCCCGTTGGCCACACCTGTTCGGACCGATTAGTATTTGAGATTCCAGTCCCGCTATTGCTTGTTAAGGCTCATCTTGCATCTGCCTATGTGCGGCATTCACACGGGCATGGCGGCGACGGATCCCAACGGGGTCGCGCGATTTGTGGTGCCGCTTCTATTCTCCTACGTGGCCGACTACCCGGAAACCTGCAAAGTGTCATGCACCCAGCAGCTCGGATCTGTGAGGCCCTGCTCCCTCTGCTATGTGCAGCGTGAGCACCTCCGTGACATGGACCGAGAGGCAGCCGAGATGAGGACTGTGGAAAAGCAGGAAGGAGTGCTCGATGACCCAGCAGAGGCCGCCCTCTACGCGACCATGCGCGTTCCGGTACGTTGTATGTGCCACACCCGATAAAAATTCGGCCTTTGAGGGGTATACTGATTGGCGCACGTTTTCCCGCCCCCTTACTCTCCCCTGCAGAGTTTCCTGTGGGACTTCAACTTCAGCCGAACGGTATGGGGCAACACATACCTGACGATGGGGCCCGACATTCTGCATGCAATCTTCATCGGCTGGTGGCTTTACATCCGTGACGCGCTGCGGGGCAACAACGACGAGGCCGCTACCAAGGACGGGTATGCGGACATCTCCACGCAAAGGGCTGTCCCACTTGCCACAATCTGCACCAGCACCGAAGATGTTGATCCATGTGCTGGTCACATTCTCTGTTGCATCGTGTGCAGGCGCCAGGCAGAAATGTACCCCGATGCGAGAATCGCTGGCATCGCCGTGCCCGGATCTGGCAACTACTGGGTGAGTGGGGCAAACTACACGGCGTCAGAGCACGCCGCGGTCATGATGGTAGTTTCCCCTACTCATACAACGCCAGTTTGAACCCTGGACTGCCGATGAGATTTTGTGTAACCGCATTCCAAGCTGATCGGTGGTTCTGTTTTCGTGTCACGCGTGCAGATCGTCCCTTTCGTGATGGAAGGGGAAGGGATTCCCATCAGGCGCGCGGCTCTTGTTGGGGTGCTCGAATGGCTCGAGAGCTGCGTGCGCGCCCCCTACCACACCGAGGCCTCGCTGGCCGAGCTGGATCAACGGACCAGAAGGTATGGGTCGTTGATCTACACTTGCGGACGCACGCTCATAGCGATGAAAAGCATCTCGTTGTTGCATCTGGCAGGATGGTCCAAGCGTGTGAGGCTATTTTCCCGCGTCGCGGCCAGGGGTACAACCTGCTGAAGGTCCACCTGCTAACCCATCTGCCAGACTTCATTCGCCGCAATGGTGTACCACGCGAGTTCTCTACAGCTGTTTACGAAAACGCCCACATTCGTACCTGCAAGCTACCGTATCGCGCCTCGAACCACAGGGCGCCATTGCGTGCGATCGCAACGCACAACGTAAGGGCGGCAATGCGTGCGCAAGTGGAGACGCGCCTCACTGACAGGAGGCGGAACAACACTGCGATGGCCCAAGTAAGTTTAGCATATCATTTCTTTACAGGTTGATGTACGCACACGCACGTCCCGAAACCCAGCCCCTCATACGTGGCGCATTACATCCTTGCCCGCCATCCACCATCATGTATATCCATCCCATTCAGGCCATCACCATGGGCACCCCGCAGCTGACGAGGGCTAGCAAGTCGCTCACCAGCGCTCCCCATGGTGGCGAGCCAGCGGGCTTGGTGTTCGAGCAGCTGAACACGGCGCTGGGCGGGATCCTTGCCACATACGACGGTGCCATGCGCGCGGCATGCTTACGCCCCTTTCCAGCCAAGGTAATGTAGACGTGCATGCTTACGTGAACTCGTGTTGTGGCCTCTCTGTTGCGGATGCAGTGCGGTGTTGCACGCAACCGTGCCATCCTGCCAGGAGGCTGTTAAACCATGCTAACTGTACACTATAACCCATCCCTTGTCGCAGGCACACACGGCTCTGGCCGTGCCCGCAGGACACATGGACCTTGGCACCGTGCGGCCCCACTATGTCCGGGCTGCCGCTTCCCTCCACGGGCACAAAGCCTTCTCGTGCGTGGAGTACGAGACGGCAGCAGGGCAGGTTGAGCATGGGAGGCTCCTCATGCTGCTGGAGGCAGAGCAGGATGTGCCAGGGGCCGAGCAGGAGGTGGAGGTGGGTGTTATCCAGAGGCTGGTGGATGTGGGGCTGGACGCTCACACTGGCTGCCGCACGCTCTCTGCTCCATCGGCAATGGGGGGACTGGCGGTCCTTGAGGTGGCTGCCATCCGTCGCGCCGTTCACTGCGTGCCCTCGTTCGAGCGGCGAGGGATTTGGTACCTGAACCGATGGGCGTACAGGTGCACTGAGAGCCTCACTTGATCAGCCGTTGCCACATCTTTAATGGCACGGGGGAACGTAATCGGTGTTTCGGCACAGCGCAAGACTAGCCCGGTTGCGTGCCAATCTCATGCCTGGTCAGCCATGTTATACTTACTCACCAACCCCCCACCCGCGCCGTTCGTTCCAGCTCCCACCTGTGGGCCTCCTTCAGACTTTGTGCGGGATCCTTGTATCATATATGCGTATGTTATAGTAAGGGGCGAGATAGAGCTCGTACCCGTATGCGCCCCCTGCTGGCCTTATATGGGGCACATTATATCTATTACTTAGAACATATGTAGAGTGGATGGCAGTGACCAAAATTTGTCTGGCCTCATCACTTCGAGTGCATATGTAGAGTGGATGGCAGTGACCAAAATCATTTGTGCCTATTTCGAGTTCCGCATCTGCAATACTTCTGATAAGATACACCTCACTGCCACAGTACACTTAAATCGTAAACAGAGGAACATCTAGCCGTGTGGAACTATAAATGCCTCATTAAACGAAACGGTACTAGCTCCTACGCGAGCCTCCAACTATCGTGTACGAAGTGTACCTATTACAGCGCTTGCGTGCATTACACATGCCTATCGTAGTCTGCTTATGGGTTTTGTTGCGTGTCAACAAAGTTTTAATAGCTGCGCCAACAACTTGCTGAGCATTGGAACATTGGCAATACAATAGAAACTTTAGCATAACCCTTATACATTAGCGCCTACTATAGCGGATAGCGCAACCCCAGGCATGTAACCTGGTGCGATGCTTGATGGGTTGGTGGAGTGTAGAGGGGTTAAGAGATAGGTGCAGGCTAACGCCAAGCTTTGGGAAACAGTAACTCATGCCCAGGCCTACTGGCGAGGGGTAACCACCGGAATGGCCGGTGCGACAGCAACAGCCGGCCCCGGCGACAGCTCCTCCAGGCCATCCTCAGGGAAGAGGATCAAGCCATCGCGGCGAAAGCCCCAGGCACGCCGTTCCGCGTCCCAGAACGGGCCCTGCTAGGGTGTGCGACGCAGAATCATCTGGCGAATCCAGATCCGCACTCGCTCATGGTACCAGCGAACACCTTCTTCGTTTCGCGGAGCGCTGCGGGTGAGAGTGCTTCCCGTCACAATTGGCATCTCCTCCTGGAACACGTGAAGGGAGGCACACCATATCAGTAACAGATCCGCCTGAATAAACACTATCCCAACCCCAACGCTTCGTACTCATGCCAAAGAGCCAGAACGCGAGAACATATGTCTTGACGACCAGCAGTGGCGGAATGCGGAACGATGCGTAGAAAGCGCGCTCGAAGATCTTGGTCGCAAACGGCATTCCCACCGCATCGCGGTGCCAGGGCATCAGCTCCATCGACCCTGGGCCTGGGTGCACGTACAAGGAGAGATTGTCAGGACAATCTACGGGTATTATTCAGAGATGCGGGACGGAAGTCAAGTCGAGAAAATGACATACCAGCTTTGAACTGCACCATGAACTCCTTGCGGGAGATGCGCGGCACTTCCTGCGTGCTAGGGCGGACCGGCAGCCTGACACGCGAGTTGGCCCGCATGCGGTATGGAAGGCCGTGCAGGATGTTGACGAATGCCCTTCCCTGTTCCCACTTCGACATGCGCCACACTTGCATCTGTCGCGTAAACCATCCGGTCCTCTTGGCGTCCACGCCCCACACCATGTGCAGAAGCACAAAGTGATCTGGGTTAGACAAGCGCAGCGCGCGCGCGATGCATTTTTCGGCCAGTTCCGGGGTGACCCAGAAGTTCATGATTGCGACCGACGTGTCGTAGGCCAGGATGGTGATGGCGTCCTCGGTTACTCCCTGTCGGTATTGGGGCGCATGGTGAATTAGTAGTAGCAAGCATAAAGAGGGTGTTCGTCCATGTGGCTTTAACCTTCATACCATCTATTAATACCTTGAAGCCATCTTCGAGCTTGAGGAGAAGCTTGTGCCCCATCTCCATACGGTCGGCCCATTCGTCCATCCCTTCAGTAACGACGCCATCCGTGTCCGCCTGGCGCAATTCACGCTCGAGGGCTGCTTCAACCATCGGCGAGCGAGTAGCAGCCCGGGCGCCGCCAGTAGCGTGCCCGCTGGCGGCGTCGATACGCCGACGCGTAGCCCCTGGTGCGTCGACCGCATTCGCTCTTCCACGCCGCTCACGCGCAGCAGTCAGACGCGCGATGTCAGGGCGCACCGCGGCATCGCCCCTCCCCTCGAGGCGATGAATCCTCTGGTTGAGGGCAGGATCTGCCGCTCCTGCTGCGTCGCCCTTGCTGCCATTGCAGCGTTTACAGGCCCAGGTATCGCGATCTCGGTCGCCGTTGCGCCGTTTGCATGGGCAAACATACGCAGTGTTGAGACATTGTCTGAGGTATGCGGTTCTCTCCTAGCCATGCTGCCACCATCTGGCAGACTTGTTTTTTTTTGCGCATACCTACCCATAGTAGCCCCCGCGGTGATTTTGGGCCCTCTCATTCTTTGAAGAGTAGTTGCAACTTCCTTCCTGAAAAGCCCACACACATATAGCTACGACGGATAATTTGCACGCCGCGCGTGGAAATGGCGGAATCCACCGCTGCCGGGGCGGATCGAGGCGCCGATGAATGTGCGCGTGAGTAAAACTATGGCGCGCGAGTCGCACATCCTATCACACACGCCTCGCCCACTGCTTCCCGCACATTGGCCTCCACGAGATCTCACCCCCATTACCACGCCTTCCCTAGCCGTCGCCCTCCCTTCCCGTTGCCCTCCCGTCCCGTCGCCCTCCCTTCCCGTCGCCCTCAATTCCCGTCGCCCTCCCTTCCCGTCGCCCTCCCTTCACGTCGCCCTCCCTTCCCGTCGCCCTCCATTCCCGTCGCCCTCCCTTCCCGTCGCCCTCCCTTCCCGTCGCCCTCCCTTCCCGTCGCCCTCCCTTCCCGTCGCCCTCCATTCCCGTCGCCCGCGCTTCTTCCCGTCGCCGTCCGTGAAAGCTCGTCGCCCTCCCTTCGTCCCCCGTCCATTCTTTCCCCGATGCCCTTTCCTGCTCACCAAGCCAGCAATGTGGTTGGTATTTACTAGCGCGAATGTGGCCGTGGGAATGTCGCGACCGCGTCCAGAGCACCAACGCCGTGCACGTGGCGCCCCTACCCGGCGCGGCTGATTATAGCGCGAGATGTAGCCCTTGCGCGGTCTAGAATAAGTGTGTCATTGGGGGGAATGTGTTAGAGAATCGCGTTTACTTTCTAGGAGTCGAAGAAGTAAGCGGGGTGGTTGTGTGCTGGTAGTGTCGTGTGTCACAGTGAGTAGCGTGCATTCGTTTTCTCTGTCTCACATTTTTTCTAGGTAGGCGGTAATACGGCTGCTCTGCGTGGGCGGGCTTTCGCCGCTTGAGTTAGACGTCGCAAAGCCCTCGTTAGACAGTGCGTTCTGTCGCGCAGGGGGGCGTCGCAACTTGGTTGGTGTGCAGGGTGTTCGGCGGCGGTTGGGCCGTGTCAAGCCTAAAAACGAGCCTCGTTGGTCATTGTGCACCCCTGGGTGAGTTGTGTTTCAGGGGCCCAAACCAACCTTGTGCTCTTTGGCGACCAGAAGTGGGGTTACCAAGTTTCTTACGTATTACACTTGGTTGGGTTCCTGAAATTGGAGACGCGGGTTTTAAATATTTTGTTCGTATCCCACCCACCCACCACGATGTGGCGATTTCATGTCACTGTACATGTAATATTCGGCCAAACTGCCATTTCAGGTTCGGGTGAAAACCCCGCTATTGGTGGCCAAATGTGTTTTCAATACAGCCTGATTCATGCTACGTCCTCACTTAGGGTGTGGGACATTCGAGAGAGGTTGTATCTTGTACATAATCTGCATGAGATTGTGTTGCTGTAAGTTATAGTATGGTGATGAGCAGGGCCCAAAATTGGTTCAGGCCTACTCTTACAAATCAGGGTACCAGCCCCTCCTAGAACAGACCCCTAGGGTAGAATTTTCCGTAGCCTGATTTCAGCAGGGTAACTCTGGCACTAGGCTAATTTGAGCAGGGTATTTTCGGGCCAATTCTGTTTTGGTTACAGTTTTGTGAGCTACAGTTTTAATAAAATCAGAAATAAAGTAATACACCCAAAGTCCATTCACTCTACAAAAGTCACACATGAACTACACACCCCCTGACTGCCTCTCAAGGGCCGTTTCTTCCACGAGGCGGGAAGTGTATGGCCAGCACGGCAGGACTGCTGCTGCATTCTGTTGTCAAGGACAGCTTGAAGCTGTCCTTGACAGCAAATTCTGCTGTGTTGGCGGTGGGCGTGGCGACGGGTGGCAAGATTCGAGAATGAGTTGGCAGCCCTGCGGGAGAAACAACAAAAGAAGCAACATGGCGCGTTGCCGACCGCGAGGCATTGTTTTGCGCGTGGGCACAAGCGACAACCGGTGTTTGTGGGGGTGTGGTACATTTTGTCACAAAGCGGACTGTGGTCTGATTCGCGTTAGAAAAGTTTCGGTAAAAGGGTAGTGTACACCACACCCTGATTCCGTCAGCCTAACCTTAAAACCAGTCAGGGTAAAAAAAAACATGTTCTTTTAAGAGAAGGGCAACTAATTCGCATTCCTGATTTTGGCAGGGTAATCCTGAAAAAACGGCCGACCCCCAGGGTAATCAGGGCATTTTACCCTGATATTTTGGGCCCTGGTGATGAGCGTTAACATTCCAAAATAATTGTGGAACGTTCAGATGTTCCACGCCTTTCAACTTCAATGCTCATGCTAGGTACGGTAGGTTGGAATGGAAACGATGTACCACTTCCACTACTGTAAGGATTGTCAAAACGCATTTCATGCTTGTAGGGCGGAGTGGGTTAGCCCATATAAGGTACAACTCGTTTAGGGTTGCATACTTGTATCTCACTGCTGCTAATCACAGATCATTCCGCTGTTTTCATTCTACCGTATACTCCCGGACAAAACACCCCCCCATAATTGTACACCCCCGGGTAGCTTGTGCGGGGTGGGTGTTATGATAGACCTCATTTCTACTATACCCCCCTTTTTGCCTGATTTTCTATAACACCCCCCTTTTCTTACGGATTCATTAGTATAGTCGTTAACGAGTAGCTGCAATACGGAAGAATGTCGTGTGAATTTCTCCCTCAATGAAATTTCGCGGTACATTCAAAGGCAATCTGCCGAGATTTGCCCTCTCCCACTATTTCTCTGTTGCCACGTGCAGGTGAATCTTCCGTTGCAAGTGGCAAGAGAGGTGTCACGTGGCATTTTCGTGAGGGCGATGAAGTTCGAGGCCGAAACTGACATTCGCGCCTCAGGCAGTGATGCTAAAACGACCAGCAAAACACCCACATTGACTAATTAAAAAAACACTAACACTAAAATATGCCATATGTAAAGACCCGGGTATTATGTATTTTTTTCCTATGAGGAGACCCCCCCCATTTTTTCCCTGTATTTTTAGCTATACCCTAGGGTGTTATGTCCGAGAGAATACGGTAACAGGGATCAATGGTGTGCACGTACAGACAGTCTGAAAAAAACCCTCTCTGGTGCATTCATTCGTTCAAAATGGGGTTTGGCAGCAAATGCAGCTGCCTTGCATGTGGTGTTCCAGTCAAACAGCAAACAGGCGAACAACTGCGTGGACTGGAGTGGAGAGGTAAAGGCGAGTGGGCTTCTGAAGCAGGCAGCGAAGGTACGGTATTGGTACCCATGAGCACTTCAACATACCGTAGAAAAACACCCCACACTAAAAAACAGCCGAGGCTCTAGAACAACCAGCCCGCTCTCTTGGGGGGGTCCAGGCGCACGGGCTTCTCAAGCAGGCAGTTGAGGTACATGTACGCGCCGAGCTGTCCTGCCAACAACGAGCGCTTCAACCTAGACGTGACACCTCACCCCAAAACAGCTGAGGCTCTAGACTAGAACAACCAGCCAGTCCTCTTGGGAGGGTCGAGGCGCACGGGCTTCTCAAGCAGGCAGTTGAGGTACATGTGCGCGCCGAGCTGCTCCCCCACGTCGGGCTTGGGCAGCACGTGGTAGTAGAGGCGCTTGTAGCCCAGTGCACTGATCAGCGCCACGTACACCGGCATCTCGTCTAGAGGTGCGTAGAACATCTCAAACCACAGCACGCCGCCTGGTAAGAGCATAAGTGAAAACATAGAAATGAATGCAGAGGGATGGGAGGGATTGGTGGAAGGCACGGGAGAGCGGAAGTGAGGGTGTAGATGTGAGGTGGGTAGGGTTTGAGTCGAGTAATGCTCATGTGTGCGCCAAGCCGAGCTGCTCCCCCACGTCGGGCTTGGGCAGCACGTGGTAGTAGAGGCGCTTGTAGCCCAGTGCACTGATCAGCGCCACGTACACCGGCATCTCGTCTAGAGGTGCGTAGAACATCTCAAACCACAGCACGCCGCCTGGTAAGAGCATAGGTGAAAACATAGAAATGAATGCAGAGGGATGGGAGGGACTGGTGGAAGGCACGGGAGAGCGGAAGTGAGGGTGTAGATGTGAGGTGGGTAGGGTTTGAGTCGAGTAATGCTCATGTGTGCGCCAAGCCGAGCTGCTCCCCCACGTCGGGCTTGGGCAGCACGTGGTAGTAGAGGCGCTTGTAGCCCAGTGCACTGATCAGCGCCACGTACACCGGCATCTCGTCTAGAGGTGCGTAGAACATCTCAAACCACAGCACGCCGCCTGGTAAGAGCATAGGTGAAAACATAGAAATGAATGCAGAGGGATGGGAGGGATTGGTGGAAGGCACGGGAGAGCGGAAGTGAGGGTGTAGATGTGAGGTGGGTAGGGTTTGAGTCGAGTAATGCTCATGTGTGCGCCAAGCCGAGCTGCTCCCCCACGTCTGGCTTGGGCAGCACGTGGTAGTAGAGGCGCTTGTACCCCAGCGCACTGATGAGAGCGACATACACCGGCATCTCGTCCAATGGCGCATAGAACATCTCAAACCACAGCACCCCGCCTGGAGGTGGGGGGCATGGGAATGGGTGCAGAGGGATGGGACGGGTAGGTGGGAGGCAATGGGAACGCGTGACTGCTCAGCATGCACGGATATCCTAAACCACAGCACCTCGCGTGGCACGGGCATAGAAACCGGAGTAGAGGGATGGGAGGTATGGAGGGTGGTGCTGGAGGCATGGCTTTGCGGTGGGGTTTGGGAAGAAGGATGAAGGTGAATAAGGAGTGCAGTGTGAAGCAGCTATGGGGACATAGCAGGTGCGGCGACGAGGGGCAGGAACAGTGAGTGTGAGAAGAGGCAGGGTCAAGCGAGAGCGCAGGGCATTTATGGTGTATGGTAGGGAAGCAGGCCAAGTGCAGATGCTAGTGAGATGTATAGAACCAGGAGAGAGGGCTGTGGTAGGGATGCACGTGAAACAAGCACAACGCTGCAAAATACGAGTGAGTGGCAGTAGTGGCAGTAGTGGCAGCAGTAGCAGCAGTGGCATCACGCACAGCCTGAGAGCGTGCGCACCGACTCTAAGCTGGTCCAACGGGAAAGCATGGGCAGGCACTAGGGGCAACTTGCTATGCACAGCACAAGACAACACTCACCGACTCGCAGCACGCGGTCCCAGTCAAAGAGCAGCTCTTCAAACTCCTGCATGGGCAGGTACTTGATGCTGTTCACACAGTGCACCAGGTCCAATGTGTTGTCCATCAGTGGCAGCCGTTGCTGTCGGGGAAGTTGGCCAGGAGGGGGGGGGGGAAGGGGTTGGGGCAGTAAGAGGGAGGGAGGAAGGTGAAAAGATGGTGCGAGGAGGAGTGACAAAGGTAAGATGGGGAAGGTGAGTGCTGGAGAAGCAGGCAGGAGATAGTAGCAAAGGGGGTGTGATGGAGGAATTTCAAAACCGACTCTTGAGTATCTCGGCAACCCTATGCCTTAGTGCCTTGCACCCCACTCCCATCACCCACACCGCACGCCGTTGGCTCACCTTGTGCGGCCGTGCAAGGGAATGCGGCCGTGCAGGGGAATGCGGCCGTGCAGGGCGTTGGCCTCCACCCCTACACCTTACACTTAACAACCCCCCACCCACCCCACGCCCCCCACCCCTCATATCCCCTGCCCATCTCCTTACCTTGTGCGGCACGCGCAGGGGAATGAGGCCGCGCAGGGCGATGGTCTCCATGTACGGAAGGCCCTGGCGACGCCCCGTGACAGTCTCAATGATCATGCTGTGGTGAGTACTCTGCACTCCACTCCCTACTCCCTGCACCCACCATCCTTACACGCCACGACCCAACTGTTGTAAATGTACATTATATACAACATTCATAGGCTAGAATAGGTGTAGTCCCTTATGTTCTTGGGGGGTTGGGTGTACACTCCAACCACACTTTGTGGTTGGTCAAGATTGGATTTGGTCTTGGTCCTTGGTTGGCACTTGCCAACTTTTGGTCCTAACACCAACAAATCACATCCTATCTACATTGTGGGGTTTCCTACTCCACAAAGCACCTCACCCATTGGCCAACTTAGTGGCCAATAGGGTTAGCTCCTCCTCCACTCCTCTCTTCCTTGCATGCTTGTACTATAGAGCCTCCTTGGCTCATTACTCAATTATTCTTGAATTCTAACATGGTATTCAGAGCCAAATGGCTCACACCACCTTCCCTCGATCCTTAGACTGCAATTTACTCTCCGCTCCTTTACCCTAGCGGACTACGACCTACATCGGTCCACCCGCACCTCAGATCTAGCCTTCCGCGGCCTAGATCTCCTCCGCGGCCTCAATCCTCCCTCCCGCGGCCTCAATCCTCCCTCCCGCGGCCTCGATCCTCCCTCCCGCGGCCTCAATTCTCCCTCTCACGGTCTCAAACCGTCCTTACGCGGCCTCAAACCGCTCCCCCGTGGCAGCAACCCTCCCCCCCGTCGCCACGCCTCAACCTGCCCGCCGACGCGACCGACCTGCGCGCCGACGCGGACGACCAGCGCGGCGACGCGGACGACCAGCGCGGCGACACGGACGACCAGCGCAGCGACGCGGACGACCAGCGCGCCGACGCGGACGACCTGCGCGCCGCCGCGAACGACCTGCGCGCCGCCGCGGACGGTCAGCGCGCTGTCGCCAGCGACCTGCGCGCCGACGCGGCCGGCCAGCGCATGACCGCCGATGACCCGCGCGCTGACGCAGACGGCCAGCGCGCGACCGCCCGAGCCGCACGCTGACGCGGACGGCCAGCGCGCGACCGCCGACGAGCCGCGCGCTGACGCGGACGGCCAGCGCGCGGCCACGAACGAACCGCGCGCCGACGCGGACGGCCAACGCGCGGCCGACGACGACCCTGCGCCGACGCGGACGGCTGGCGCGGAGCCGCGGCTGACCTGCGCGCCGTCGCGTTCGGCTGCCCGCGACCTCCACGACCCTGCAACCCTAATCCTCCCTCCTCCCCCTATCCTGCCCCACACCCGCGCCCCTCCCCACACTTCCGCACCAGCCTCTCTTCCCCCCCCCCTACCTCCTCCCCCTACTCCACCCTTAACGGCACCAGCAGCAGCCGCAGCGGCGGCACCAGTAGCGGCACCGGCAGCAGCAGCAACGGCGGCACCAGCAGCGGCACCGGCAGCAGCAGCAGCGGCGGCACCAGCACCGGCATCGACGGCGGCAGCAGCAGCGGCAGCAGCAGCGGCTCCAGCGGCGGCTCCAGCAGCAGCACCGGCAGCGGCAGCAGCGGCGGCAGCAGCAGCAGCATCGGCGGCGGCAGCAGCAGCAGCATCGGCGGCGGCAGCAGCAGTGGCATCGGCGGCGGCAGCAGCAGCGGCAGCAACAGCGGCACCAGTAGCGGCAGCAGCAGCGGCACCAGCACCGGCAGCAGCGGCATCAGCAGCGGCGCCTTCACCCCTCCGCCGTCATGGCGTCGTCGGACTCATCGGTCGATCTAGCGACCATTGACGCTCTCGAGCTGCTGGGCGACAACTCGGCCGCCAACTGGCACTCCTATGCTCACTCCGTCGAGGTGTTGCTCTCCTCGGTCATCGTCAGCGGATATACCCTTCGCTCCGTCGTGTTCCAGGAGGAGGGTGGACTCCAGCCCATCGCCCCTTCCGCCCCCACTGGACCTGCTCCCGATGAGCCCGGACCCGAGCCCGAGCTTCCTGGTGATCCCCCCTCCTTCGCGCCGGATGTTCACAACCCACAAAGCGTGGAGTCTGCCATTCGTGCCTATCGCACCTCACTCAACGACCACCTTCGCCGCCAACTGCGCTACGACGATGACAAGCGCATCTACGACAGTGCTGCTGCCCGCCACCGTGAATACCAAGCCCAGTTCGCCACTTACACTACCCGCCTCACCACCTACACCACTGAAATCGCTGCGTGGCACGTTGCTGATCGTCGAGCTCTCGCTATCCTCCTCGCCACCATCCCCTCCTCCCTCAAACGAGAGCTCTCCCCCACCTTCTCCTCCCACCTGTGGCAACTGCTTGTTGACCTCTTTGACCGACAGGACATCGCCACTCTCTATGCACTCATTAAGGAATTCGGATCCATCACCATGGATTCCACCGCCGGCGCAGCTGCCTTTACTCGCCGCGTCCTTGACCTCGCTCGCCGCCTTGCAGCGCTCGGTGTTGTCTACCCTGACACCGTCTAGGGTTGAGCAAAAAAACGAACAGGTTTTTTTTTTTTGGCTTAAAATGTTCGCCGAACAGTGTTCGATGTTCGCCCAAACACGTTCGTGTTCGGGCCGCTGCTGCAATTTGCCCGCGACGAACACGAACAGTGTTCGAGGTTCGCCCGAACACGCCTTCACAGGCGAACGGCGAACACCATTTTTTGCTCAAAGTGTTCGCCGAACCGAACAGTGTTCGGTTCGGCAAACGAAGGTGTTCGTGTAGGGGCGAACACGAACACGTTCGTGTTCACCACTTGCTCATCCCTAACACCGTCATCTGCTGCCACCTTCTCGAGGGTCTCACTCCTGCCTTCGATGCCCATGAGCTGTCATAGATGCAACTCCTCTCCAAGCATGACACTCCCGCTCAAGTTGCGCAATGGATTATCACCACTGAAGCTGAAATCCTGCGCCACTCTTCCTCCACTGCCGCAGCAGCACAGCAGCGCAGCAGCAAAGGCGGGCGTGGGGGGGGGCGTGGAGGTGGGCGTGGTGGTGGTCGAGGCGGCTCTGGCGGTCGTGGTGGTGCGGGTCGTGGTGCAGCAGCGGCCTTCCCACCCTGTCAGTATCTTCCCCTCTATGGCCCCACCCGAGGCCAACGCTGCAACCAGACCACTCATGCGATTGAGACGTGCTTCAAGGCACTCAGTGATGAGTGGTTCGTTCGTGGGAACTCTGGCACCCCTCCTCGCTGGTCCGCCCTCAACCCCCGCCCCACTCCCCTGGATGTCCGCACCTCTCCCCTTTACGCCCCTTCATCCTCCTCCCAGGCCCACCAGGCCTTTGCTCTCCCCTCTCACCACCACCACCAGCAGCAGCAGCAGCAGCACCAGAGTGTCCAGCAGCAGGGGCCGCAACAGTACGGGCAGCAGCTTCATCAGCTCCAGCAACAGCTTCAGTAGCTCCAGCAGCAGCTTGACCTCCAGCCCCATCTTCCTCTCCTCCCTCCTCCTCCTGTCCCCCAGCAGCAGTCGTTTCCCGGCTGGGCCGCCGGGAATGCGGCCTCCGCGGCCCACCTCTCCGGTCCATCCCCTGCACCGTCTACAGGTGGCAGTGTGACCCCCTTTCCCTCCTCTGGCTTTGTTGGTCTTCTTAGTCAGCCTCCCTTTGTTGCATCCCCTATGTATGCCCCTGCTATTAATGAAACTTTAATTCAGTACTCCGCCTCACCCTCCTCCACCCTTGAGTTCGTCTTGGACAGTGGAGCCACTGACAATGTCTTTCGCGATGCCGGCAAACTCCATCCTCTCCCCACACCCACGTCCCTCCTCGGCGCTGATAGCAGCTTTTCCATCCCCTGTCACAACACGTCCACCCTTCCCTGTCCTCTCTTTCCCTCAGGTACTGTCACAGGTCTTCACATTCCCTCCCTTCGCACCAACCTCCTTTCCCAAAGGTCCCTCCAACAATCCATGATCACCACTGTCACCCCAGGTGGTGCTAACCATTGTGACCTTTACCAAACCTCCACAGGTCGGGTCCTCTCCCGCATTCCCTACTGTCCCCGCTCCCGTCTGTACACCCTTCGGGTTCCTCGCCCCCTCACCTTCCAAGTTGCCTCCCCCCCCCCCTCCTCCCCACCCCTCCTCCCCCCCCCTCCTCCCCTCCCTCCCACTAACCCACCCGTCCCCCCCGCCCCCCTGACTCTGACTGCTCATGTCGCTCCCTCTCCCACCCTGCCATCCTCCTCCATCACAGGCTAGGTCACCCCAACTTCGCCACTCTGCGCTCCTCTGTATCCTCCGGTCTCCTCCACAGTCTCCCCTCCTCCCTCCCTCCCCTCCCAAAGTCCCCTGCCCCCCCCTTGCGTCGTCTGTGTTCAGAGCAAGCTCAAGCAGCAGCCGCACCGGAGCTCCCCCTCCGCTGCTGCCCAGCCACTTGATCTTGTTCACATGGACCTCTGGGGCCCTAACCCCTCCCCCACTCGCCAAGGCCATCGCTACCTTCTCGTGCTCGTCGATGATCACAGTCGGTACTCGTCCGTCTCTCTCCTTCGGACAAAGGCGGACGCCCCGACTGCGATCATTGCCTGGCTTGAACAGGCAAACACCCACTTTGGGCGCCCTGTTCGCCGCCTTCACTCTGATGGTGGTGGTGAGTTCCTTAATAACCAGATCTCTTCCTATTGCCAGTCCCGCGGCATTCTTCAGACTTACACCCTCCCTCACTCCCCACAGCAGAACGGTGTCGCTGAGAGCCGTGTTTGGGAGATCACCAAAACGGCTCGGTGTCTTCTTGTCCACGCCTCATGCCCCCTTCTCTGTGGGGCTACGCCCTCCTTCATGCCGCCCTCCTTACTAACCTTTACCCTCGCCCCCTCCTCCCCTCCACCACCCCCACTGAGCTATGGACAAAGGACAAACCCGATGTCTCCCCTCTTCGAGTCTGGAGCTCAAAGGCATATGTCCTCATTCACCTCTCTGACCGATCCCGTTCCCTGGGAAAGCTTGCCCCTCGTACCCTTCCTTGCATCTTCCTTGGTCATAACCCCTCTTCTCCCGACTATCTTTTCCTCCACCCCCCTTCCGGTCGACTAATTCACAGCAGAGATGTCGTCTTTGACGAATCCACCCCGTGCTATTCCTCTCCTCCGTCCATTGACCCACTCCCACCTCTGACTCGTCCCCTTGTCTGGTCTGACACCACCCCTCCCCCTCTCCTCCCTCCTCCCCCCATCCTCCCACCCCCTCCCCCTCCGCCCTCCCAGGCCCCCCCCTCGTCTGGTGACATCTTTGACCCGGACCCCCTGTCTTCCCCTGTCTCCCCCACTCACTCCTCCCCTGGTGCCCCTCCTCTCCCTCCCTTCCAACCCTCACCTCCCTCCCCCACTCCCCGCACCATACTCACCCGGTATCCTCACACCAGGTCACGTGACAGTATCCTTGGTGCACCGCCCCCTGTTACCCTCTCTACCTCTACCCTCCCTCCTCTTTCCCCCCTCCTTCACCACTTCTTCCAGGCTGTCTTGCATCCAGCCGCCTCAACCACCTCTCCAGCAGCAGCAGCAGCAGCAGCAGCAGCTCCAGCAGCAGCCACCACAGCGGCACCAGCAGCGGCGAGTGCAGCGGCAGCAGCGGCATCGGCAGCGGCACCAGCAGCGGCATCCGCACCAGCACCAGCAGCGGCACCAACAGCGGCACCAGCAGCGGCACCTGCGGTCATCCGCGCCTTCCACACCTCCCTCTCTGAGGACTCCCATGAGGAGTTCCTTGACCTCCACCTCTCTGACCCCTCCCTCCTTCCCATCACCTTTGACCTCTCTGGAACACCAGTCTTCACCTTTTCCTCTGCTCCCTCCACCTTCATCCCAACCACGTATGAGGATGCCATGGCTTGCCCCGACGCCCCGCTCTGGCTCGCCGCCATCATCAAGGAGCTCGAGGCATTTATTGCCAACTCCTCCTTCGTTGATGTGCCTCGCCCTCCCTCCTCTACGAACGTGGTAAAGGGGAAGTGGGTGTTTCGCGTCAAACAGCTACCAGGAGAGCCGCCTGTCTACAAGGCCCGGTATTGCGCCAAGGGCTTCATGCAGCGGTATGGCTTTGACTTCTTCGACACCTTCTCCCCCACCGCCAAACCTGCTACCGTTCACGCCGTACTCGATCTCGCCGCTCGCCTCAACATGGAGATCCACTCGATGGATGTCTTTGACGCCTTCCTGCAAGGCGTGCTACGTGAACTGATCTACATGGAGCGCCCAGCGGGCTTCCACCTCCCCTTCCCCGCTGACTCCGTCTAGCAGCTGCGCCGACCAGTGTATGGGCTCCGCCAGGCTCCCAGGGAATGGCATGCCAAGCTTGCTGCCACCCTTGCCGAGCTTGGGTTTCGCACCTCCCGCTCTGACGCCAGCCTCTTCCTCCGCACCTCCCCCTCCCCCTTCTACATCCTCGTCTATGTTGACGATATGCTTCTCCTCACTGCTGATCTTGCCGAGCTCGAGAGTGTCAAGATGGAGCTGGGCAGCCGTCTCAAGTGCAAAGACCTGGGAGAGCTGCAGCACTACCTCGGCATGACCATCACTCGCGACCGCTCCGCCCGCACCATCTCTCTCTCTCAAGGTCACTACCTCCAGCAGGTCTTGGACCGGTTTGAAATGGCGCACGGCAACCCCCAGCCCACTCCCCTCTCGGTTGGGCACCACCTCTCTCCACCCTCCTCTCCCTCTCCCTCCTCCCATCCTTATCCTGAACTCATCGGTTCTCTCATGTGCACCATGGTTTCCACTCGCCCTGACCTTGCCTACCCCATCAGCGTCCTAGCTCGCTTCGTTGGCGCTGGCAAGCATACGGAAGAGCACTGGCAGGCCGCCAAGCGCGTCCTTCGCTACGTTCGTGGCACCAAGGACTATGTTCTTACCCTTGGCGGCCCTTCCCCACCCCTCCTCAGCGGCTACAGCGACTCTTCCAGGGCTGATTCGCAACCGGATCGGCGATCCTCTCGGGGTTATGATTTCTCTCTGGGCAGCGGTCTCATCAGCTGGCGGTCCACACGTTCCTCTGCCGTCGCCCTCTCCTCCTGTGAAGCAGAGCTCTACGCTGCCACCATGGCCGCGCAAGAAGCACGCTGGCTCACCTTCCTCCTTGATGAGCTTGGAGCCCCCCAACGCTGTCCCACCATCTGGTGTGAGAACGCCAGCACCATCCACCTCACCAAGGATGCTGTGTATCATGGGCGCTCCAAACACATTGAGCTTCGCTACTTCTTCATTCGCGATCTCGTTGAGGCCGGCCACATTCACCTTGGCAAAATCGACTCGGCGGCCAACCTCGCTGACATCTTCACCAAAGCCCTTCCCCAGGCATCCCACTCCTTCCTTCTGCGTCTCCTTGGCCTCACCCCTCCTCTGGTTTTGACGACCTCCTAATTACATCTTCTAGCCTTATGCATGTTGGGGGGTTGTGTTGTAAATGTACATTATATACAACATTCATAGGCTAGAATAGGTGTAGTCCCTTATGTTCTTGGGGGGTTGGGTGTACACTCCAACCACACTTTGTGGTTGGTCAAGATTGGATTTGGTCTTGGTCCTTGGTTGGCACTTGCCAACTTTTGGTCCTAACACCAACCAATCACATCCTATCTACATTGTGGGGTTTCCTACTCCACAAAGCACCTCACCCATTGGCCAACTTAGTGGCCAATAGGGTTAGCTCCTCCTCCACTCCTCTCTTCCTTGCATGCTTGTACTATAGAGCCTCCTTGGCTCATTACTCAATTATTCTTGAATTCTAACACCAACAACAACCCAATCCCACCACCCACCACACACTCCACAGCCCACATCCGCCACCTGCCACCTGCCACACCACAACCTACACCCCACCCTCGGGCTGACCTTGTGTGGCACGTGCAGCGGGATGAGTCCTCTAAGAGCAATCGTCTCCATGTATGGCAGGCCCTGGCGCCGCCCCGTGACGGTCTCAATGTTCATGGCCGTAGTCAGCACTGTCACGTTGTACCGAGCCATGTGCGCCGCAAAGCTGCCCGTGCCACCGCCCGCGTCCAGCCCGATCCTGTGGGCGTGGCGTGCGTGCAGTAGGGGCGAAGGGAGATGGAAGCAGGAATGGTGGATAAAGGGCAGGCAGCCCCCCATAGCTACCCGCGCCCCCTCTACAGACCCAGCCTGTGGGCGTGTGGGAGGGACAGAAGGGAGATGGAAGCAGGGATAGTGGAAAAAGGGCAGTGTCCCATGGTTGCCGTCGACTGGGTGGATAGATACAGGCCGGCCAGCCAAGCCCCCATGGTCGGCACCCCCGTGACGGTCTCAATGTTCATGGCCGTGGTGAGCACTGTCACGTTGTACCGTGCCATGTGCGCTGCGAAGCTGCCCGTGCCGCCCCCCGCGTCCAGCCCGATCCTGGTTGTGAGGCAAGCACGGGGTTGAGCATGTGGGTGAGGACGGGGTTGGTGGGGCAGGCAGGTTGTATGTGGTGGGATGGAACAGCTAGTTATGTTGCTATGGGCGTGCGGATGAAGGGTAAGGAGTGAGCAGTGCAGAGAGTAGCAGAGTGCATGAGGTCGTGATGGCTGGAGCAGAGGAACAACACAGCAGCACAGTATCATGCCCCGCCAACACACCTGAGCGACCCCTTCATCACACCCACCTGAGCGACCCCTTCATCACACCCACCTGAGCGACCCCTTCATCACACCCACCTGAGCGACCCCTTCATCACACCCACCTGAGCGACCCCTTCATCACACCCACCTGAGCAAACCCTTCATCACACCCACCTGAGCGACCCTTCATCACACCAAACCCTAGACCCCTTCATCACACCCACCTGAGCGACCCCTTCATCACACCCACCTGAGCGACCCCTTCATCACACCCACCTGAGCGACCCCTTCATCACACCCACCTGAGCGACCCCTTCATCACACCCACCTGAGCGACCCCTTCATCACACCCACCTGAGCGACCCCTTCATCACACCCACCTGAGCGACCCCTTCATCACACCCACCTGAGCAACCCCTTCATCACACCCACCTGAGCGACCCTTCATCACACCAAACCCTAGACCCCTTCATCACACCCACCTGAGCGACCCCTTCATCACACCCACCTGAGCGACCCCTTCATCACACCCACCTGAGCGACCCCTTCATCACACCCACCTGAGCGACCCCTTCATCACACCCACCTCAGCGACCCCTTCATCACACCCACCTCAGCGACCCCTTCATCATGCCCACCACCTCCTCGATGGACAGCGATCCACGGAAGTGGCGGTGCCAGCGGTTGCGCTCGATGCTCATGTTGAAACACAGCCGGCAGTCGCCGATTAGCCGCGCGTTCAGGCAGGCGAAGGACTTGCAGTGGTGCAGCGCCCACCGCACTGCACCGTCCTTGAGAGCACTCTGGCTGAAGAGTGACTCGGGGAAGGCCGTGGGCTGGAGGGTGGCGGGGGGCAGGGGTGGTGTGGAGGGGAGGGAGAGCGTGTGGGAGGGGGGGGTTGGGAAGAGGTATCTTGGAAGGTTTGACGATTAGGGGGAGGAGTTTGGTAGAGATTAGGGATTGGAGAGGGAAATGAGGAGTAAGAGTGGTATAAGAATGAGTGATGCGGGATGTTGACAGAAGAAACGAGACAAGATGGCCAAGTGAATGCTCATGCACAAGTATGCACCTCTGCCGACTGTCGTCCCTCATCTCCTTTTCCGCTTCACTTCTTTCCTGACACCCCTCCCTCCTTCCCACCGCCCCCCCCAACTCCTCACCTCCCTCCCTCGCTCAAGCTCTCCTCCATTCCCCTCTAATCCCCCCACTACCCCCTCCTCCTCCCCCATTCCCCTCTCCTCCCCCATTCCCCCCTCCTCCCCCATTCCCCCTCCTCCCCCATTCCCCCCTCCTCCCCCATTCCCCTCTCCTCCCCTATTCCCCTCTCCTCCCCCATTCCCCTCTCCTCCCCCATTCCCCCCTCCTCCCCCATTCCCCCCTCCTCCCCCATTCCCCCCTCCTCCCCCATTCCCCCCTCCTCCCCCATTCCCCCCTCCTCCCCCATTTCCCCCCTCCTCCCCCATTCCCCCCTGCTCCCCAACTCCCCCTCCCTCCCTCCCTCCCTCCCTCCCTCCCTCCCTCCCTCACTCCCCCCTCCTCAACCACTCCCCCCACCCCCATCTCACACCTCCACGAGTTTTTGGGGCGTGCGGGTGAGGCAGCGGCGTACGGGCAGAGCAAAACAATTCTTGGTAAAGAGCAGGTCCTGCGAGTCAAACCAGTCGTCGGGACACATGCGCCGCGGCTCGTAGTCCAGGTAGCGCAGCAGCTCGTCTTCCGTGGCGTCGCATGCATACGCCTGTGGGGAGCAAGTTGGGTACCGGCAGGGACGGGATGGAGAATGAGTGTTTGGGAGATGGGAAGGGAGCGCCCGCCAGGACACATGCGCCGCGGCTCGTAGTCCAGGTAGCGCAGCAGCTCGTCCTCTGTGGCGTCGCATGCATACGCCTGTTGGGAGCACCCCGGGGAATACAAGCAGGGAGGGAAGTGGGAGTGGGAGAGCTGGGAACGCCGCGGCTCGTAGTCCAGGTAGCGCAGCAGCTCGTCCTCTGTGGCATCGCATGCGTATGCCTGTGGGGAGCAGCGAATAGGGAGGGGGGGTGCAGACGAGGGAGGAGGGTGGGAGCGAGTGTGAGGAGATGGGAGAGGAACGGCAGGGACTGAAGTCCAGGTAGTGCAGCAGCTCGTCCTCCGTGGCGTCACATGCATATGCCTGCGCGGATGATCAAATGGAGAGGGAGATGGTAGGGAGAACGGGTGAATGGGGGATTGCGAGGGCAGGCAAGGCGGGGGAGATGATCGTTAGGAAGGGGAAGAGAGCGCCGTTGCTCATAGACCAGAGGCCACAGCAGCTCCTCCTCCGTGGCGTCACATGCATTGCATACGCCTGTGGGGAGCAATTTGGGGGAGAGGCAGACGACGAGAGAGGGGTGGGAATGGGTGGAAGGAGATAGGAAGGGAAAGCCGGGAAAGCCGGGAAAGCCGGGAAAGCGGGGAACATAGTCCAGGTAGCGCAGCAGCTCGTCCTCCGTGGCATCACATGCATACGCCTGATCGAACCAGGAGCAACAAAGGGAGAGGGGAGCAGTGGGTAGAGTGAGGATAAGGGGTGCAGACGGGGAGAAAAGGATGGGAACTGCGTGGTGGGACATGGGAAGGGGGCGTTGAGGGTTGTTGTGGGAATGAGTGTGAGGAGACGGGAGAGGAACGGCAGGGACTGAAGTCTAGGTAGGTAGCGCAGCAGCTCGTCCTCCGTAGCTTCGCATGCATACGCCTGCCAGGAGGGACTTGCGGGAGAACGGGTGTGTGCGACAAGCGCAACGAGACAAGCATCCATGCCATGCCATGCCATGCCATGCCATGCCATGCTATCCCATGCCATACCATGCCATGCCATGCCAATGCCCATGCCATGCCAATGCCCATGCCATGTGATGGCATGCCATGTGATTCCATGCCATTTGATTCCATGCAATGTGATGGCATGCGATTCGATGTGAGTGTGGCAGCAGGCATGTGGCAGCAGGTGCGCACCTTCCATGTGGGCACGGGCGAGGACACCACCATGCCATCGCCATGGCACGACGCCACCACCTCACGCGCCTTGTCCATCACCTGTACCGCACAGCACATATACACCATGCAACATACACACGCCACACACAGAGGGCATGGGGGCACAGGGGGCACAGGGGGCACAGGGGGCACAGGGGGCACAGGGGGCACAGGGGGCACAGGAGGCACAGGGGGCACAGGGGGCACAGGGGGCACAGGGGGCACAGGAGGCACAGGGGGCACAGGGGGCACAGGGGGCACAGGAGGCACAGGGGGCACAGGGGGCACGGGGAACAGCCCACACGCTCAGAAACGCCGCTCAAGAAGGTGACAGCCTGGAAGCAATCAATTTCTACTCTTCTCCTCTATACTCCTTCCTCAGGTGGCAGGCACCATCCATCTCATCTATACTCCTTCCTCTTGACCTATAGATGGCAGAGATGTGCCAACAGGACCTATTACTCTCCACTCCAAAACTGGACTGGCTTATGGGAATTCTCAAAAGTCACGACCGGCCGGCCACTCTCCACCCCAACCCGCTCTTTCGCCTCCACCACCAACTCGTTCTGGACTCCTTGCGAGGTGGCGGAACGCTCCCGTCAATAGTAGTTGATGTGCCGTGCACGTCCGAGACAGTGCATCCCTCCCTACTGTGCACGCCTTGCCCCTCCCATCCACATTCTCACTCTCACTCTTGATTGCTCGCATTCCCAGTATCACTCCCACTCTAACCCCTACTCAAACTCGCACTCTCACTCTTTCTCTAACTCGTATCTTCTCCCCCCCCACACGCTCAATCGCGCCCTACCTACTTCCCTACCCGCTACTGGTGGAGACCACAAGGAACTCACGGATTTGGGCAGCAGGCGGGCCTCCCAGTCAATGTCGCTCTCGTCAATGCGCTTGTCCAACTGCATCTTCTCACTGTTCGCCCTCCGCAGCTCCTTCTGCCGTGCCACATGCAATGCAAGTGGGCAGGCAGAGAGGAGGGAGAGAAAACGGTGAAGGCACGTTCTGCTTGTCGTCCATCTTGTTAGGAAGTGAGTAACAGGTGAAGGGGCCTGACTGAGACGTGCAAAGCGAAGCTGTGCAAACTGTGGAAGGAAGGAGATGCAGCAGTGGTACAAAAAAGGGGCAATGGTAAGCGAATCTTGGTCTTCTCATGCACTGGCGCAGCTGCCTCAACGGGCAACATGGTCGACGGCGCGGAACATTCAGCGCATACCAGATGGGGAATGGCAAGACAACAGCAAAACCCTCTTGCATGACCATCACTTCACTCTCTCTTTTATCCACAACAGAAGCTGCTGAAGAAATTACTCTTTCTTGAGTCACAGTTGCTCAAGAATGTATCAGTGCAGAAACCACCCTATCCCAGATACATTCGCCACTGCAACAACATCTGCCCCACATCCACACCAACTCAACCTGCAAACCGCTCCATACCCCTCCTCATCCCACCCTCACTCCTCATCCTATACTGCACTCACCCGCTTCTCGTCTACATTGGCGTGCATGGAGCGCAGGCGGGCCATCTGGTCCTTGAGCTTGTGCCGCCATGACTCGTAAGCCATCAGCCTCCTGCGCTCGCCCCCCACCCCTCTCCGTTCCCTTTCCCCTCTCCGCTCTGTTTCCCCTCTCCGCTCTGCTTCCCCTCTCCGTTCCGCTTCCCCTCTCCGCCCCAATTCCCCGCTCCGATCCTCCTCCCTCCCCTTTGCCCGCTCTTCGCTTTCGCTCTCTGCCTCCCTTGTGCCCCCTGCTCTCCTTGCCAAGGAGGACTCGGCAGTCCGCATGCTACCTTCCGTGGCTGCTCCCCCTGCTACTCCGCTGTTTCCTTCAACCACTGTCCTTGGGTGTGCGTGGCATGGCGTGGCATGGCATGGCGTTCCAGGGAGGAGAGTGGCGCAGGAAGCGTGCCGGGACAGAGAGAGAGAGAGAGAGAGAGAGAGAGAGAGAGAGAGAGAGAGAGAGAGAGAGAGAGAGAGAGAGAGAGGGGGGGGGGGGGGGGGGGGGGGGGGGGGGGGGAAGGGCAGGTGGAAGCCAGTGGCACGAGGGATGGCATGAGTGGAAGGAGGGGCACTGCAGTGGTGGTGGTGATGATGGCACGTGAAAAAAGAAGAGTTTTGAGACGTCTCAAAACTCTTCTTTTTTCACGTGGAAGGAGGGGCACTGCAGCGGTGGTGATGATGAGGTAGTGCACCGCAAGAAACGCATCAACTGAACGGCAAGGGGGTCGGGAAAAGCGAGGGAGGAAAACACAATATGACTCAAAGGTGGTGCCTATGGCACCACAAACGAACGAACCACCTGGCTGGTTGTGAGGCGCCTAGAAATTGGCACCACCAATGCGTTGGCTGGCTCATAGAACGTGACCGACTCATGCTAAAAAACCTCCCCGCCAGGTGCATCACACTCGTTGCACAGGCGCTCATGCAGCGATGGCGTGGCAACGGAACGTGTGCAACGTGCATGCATGCACGCACACGAGGGTATCACCTGCGCCATGCATGCTGTGGTACCACTGCCGCAGCCCCACCAGCTCCTCCCCACACGCCCGCTGCTCCGCCTGCCTGCTGCTCCAGCTGGGCGTGGCGGCGAGGAAAGAGGGAAGTGGAATGAACGGGAGAGGCGGTGGAGAAGAGGGGTCAGACAAGTGGATGTTTATGAGGGAGGAATGGAGGAGTCGGGGGAGGAGTGGGGGGAAAGGGAATGGCACTCAGGAGGGGATGCAACGAGCTTCTGAATGAGGAGCGGAGAGGGGGGGTGTGGGGGGGTGAGGGGGCAAGAGCGAAGGGCGAGTGTGCGGCGTGGCGTGGGTGCGTTGACTCAAGGTAGGCGCGATGACGAAGACGCGTGCTGCGTGCTGTGTGCTGCGTGGTGCGTGGTGCCCTCACGCCACAACACCGCAAGCAGTACTAATCACGCCTCACGGCGGCGGCGGCGGCGGCGGCGGCACCAGGCCGCAGCTCCCCTAACGTTACACTTGCGCGCACGCCACTGCGCGCAGCCCATCGCCGCGCACGTCGCTCCCCGCGGGCTCACCTGGGCTGCCGGACTAGCGCTCCGGCCTTTCGCCACAGCCACTGCAGAGGAGACTGCACTCGCGAGTCGCCAACCGCCCATCGCAGCGATTCGAGAGCGCGGTTCAGTGCGGTGGGGGGGCTTGCGGCGGCCAGCCGTGAGTCTTGCGCAATCGCGAGTCGTAATGGCGTTACACCGAAGGCTCGTGGAAGCAGAACTAGCGCGAGTAGTGGTGCCAGTGCGACGCCGTAGAGGAGCGCTGGCGGCGCGGGGAAATGACGGCGGGGAGAGCGCGCCGCGTGGTGAGGTTGGTAAGCGCGGGCATCCCAGGGCGGTCCGCGATGGCGACGCGGCATTCGTCCGGATGGTGTTTGCATTTGTGGAACGGTGTTGTTCGTTTTGACTCGGTTTGAACGAGTCGTGCGCACTCGTGCGAAGGTTCCGCAGGGTATATCAAGAGAGAAACGGAACGATGGCTACTGAATACGAAGCACGAGTCTCGCGGTCGACCTTGCAGCAGCGGTGGGACCTAGCGGTTCGTATATATTATCCATTATTTGCTACTCGTCCTTTGAATGCTGTTCTGGCTGGCAAAATCCGGAGCGTATGTAGCTATGGCGACCTCAGGGAAGACCTGGTGTGGGCCGTTTTGGTGGGGGTGGTTATTTTAGGGCGAATTGAAACCACTTCCTCGCTATTTGCACAGCGGGCTATTGAGAACAGAGGAAGATGAAATGCTACCACTAGATTGTCTAAACAAAAACGATTTACAAATCCCCAGTACACTAAGCCCTGATTGAAACTTTCACACAACAAGCATGGTGTTAATATTTATTATCCTCTTCATGTATCGTTTGTAAAATCATTATGCCAATGAGCAAAATAATCATACTTGTAAGTTATTATATAAAGCTAACTTGCTGTTCACACTTGGTAGTTGTAAGGAAAATTCCTTTTCCTTATTTCGCATCCCTGCTCAACGTGTACATCACTGTAGCACCACAGTCAGCACCGTTACCACTCGCCACCCTCGCATCGACAATTCACCCGCCACCTTCGCACATCACACCCCGACCTCACGGCTTGGCGGGTAACCTGCGCTCCGGGCCCCCGCTTCGACACTTTTCCCAACCTCAGTCCCAGGCCCGTCGCACGACAACCACAGTCCATTACCGTTACCACTGTAGTTTCGCTATATATTCTTCGCTCATGCCTTCGCTCATTGTACTCTTGCATCGATAGTGCAATTCTCGTTCGTTCACTCAATTGCACTCGTAACACCTGGTATTCAGAGCCTACGATCTCCTCTCGGACCGCACCCACAACTTCGTTTCCCCACTATCTCAATTTTTGGGGGGGGTAGACGTCTCTCAGCGACACAGCACCGCCGCTCGTAGTGCTCTCTGGTAAGCACGCACAACCACGACCGAGGCTCTCGCTGAGCTCGCCCGACACCCCCGCCATGGCCGAATTCACGCTCGCCACATTGACGCAGGAGCAGCTCGACCGTCTGGTGCGCCAACTTGAAGATTCGGCGCTCGAAATTGCGACGCTCACGGCGGAACGTGACTCCGCGCGTCAGCAATCAACGATGAACACTCCAGCGCCACCACACGCACCGACAAATGCATCTGCACAATCAGACGAGCCGATCGTCATCTCGTCCGGCACACCAACACAAAACAACAGCGTGGGACAGCGCTCAGGCGCAGCCAGCGATGGCGCCGCCCAGCCGATGCCAGGCATGGGAGGAAACAGGGTCGCACCAAGCCCGCGGGAGCCTCGTGAAGCCCGTCGGCACGTGGAGTTCGCGGCGACAAGTGGCGAACAGGCCATCATGGCACCAATGCCACTCAAGCCGCAACGCCCGCCCTGCTTCGACCCGAGCCAGTGTGGAGGCCCAACGGTTCAGTCGTGGGTCTTCACGATGAACGTTTTCTTCGACGCGAATTACGTCGAATCGGACGCAGCGGAGATTCGGTATGCCGTTTCGCTGCTAAGGGGCCCCGCCATGGACTGGTGGCGAGTCATCGTGACGTCGCCACGCGCCTACGAGCCATCGTCGCAAGAGGAAGGGCCCCCGGGCCCAGGTGTCACCTGGAGTTCATTCTGTGAGACCGCCCAATACAGCACATGGGATGCGTGGTGCGCAGGGCGTCGGGCGCGCTTCGAGCCGATCGCGGCTTCTATTTCGGCGCGTCAGAGATTGCGCACTTGGCGGCAGCTCGGATCGGTTCAAGACTATACAAGTGGTTTTCTCGCATTATGCGAGCAAGTCGGCTATATGCACGAAGCGGAGCGGGTGGACCGTTACGTCGGAGGGCTGAAGCCGGACATCTCGCACGAAATCATGCTACGCGGGCTCTCGAACTTCAACGAGATTCTCGCGCTCGCCGAGAAAATCGACATTTTACGCCGTCCGAGACCGGGGTCCTACTATGGACATCGTCCTCGGGGACCGATCGAGCACGCCACTATACACGTTGTTGCGACGAATGCACCTGCCGCACCGTTTAAGGGGCTCTGCTTCGCTTGCAACAGGCCGGGACTGTCAGAACATTATAGCTTATGGTTTTGTGTAGGCTTTAGTAGCGTAGCCCATATGGGGTACAACCCAATTAGGGTTAGTACTTGTACCCAACTCTTTCATAGTTCATTCATCCTCGTTCTAGTCTTCTCATGGTATCGAGCAGGTTCCCTCGTGGGAACTGTTCCTAGGGCCCACCAATTCGATTTTTTTTTTTCCTGCCCGGAGCGCGCGCAGTTCTTGCCCGGAGCGCGCGCAGTTCCTGCCCGAGTCGCGCTCCCCTCTCTCGACCCTCTCGCGCCACCTTAGCGGCCCCGTCGCGTCGCCCTCGCGGCCCCATCCCGTCACACCGCCCTAGCGGCTGCGTCCCGCCGCCCTAGCGGCCCCGATCCGCCGCCCTCTGCTGGCCCCGTCGCCTAGCCCTGCGGCCCCGGCGCCGCCCTTCCCGGCCCCGATCCGCCGCTCTGCGGCCCCGTCGCCTACACCGTGGCCCCGACGCCGCCTTTTCTCGGCCCCGACGCCGCCCTTCCCGACCCGGCCCAGCCTCTGCTGGCCCCGTCGCCTACCTTGCGGCCCCGGTGCCGCCCTTTCCCGGCCCTGACGCCGACCTTCCCGACCCGGCCCCGCCTCTGCAGGCCCCGTCGCCTACCTCTGCGGCCCTGACGCCGCCCTTCTCGGCCCCGGCCCAGCCTCAGCTGGCCCCGTCGCCCGCCCTTCCCGGCCCCGGCCCCGCCTTCACGCGGCCCCGCCGAGCTCCTACCGAGCCGCCAACGCCACCCGAGCCGCCCGAGCCGCCGCGCCACCTGAGCCGCCCGAGCCGCCAGCGCCAGCCGCCCGAACCGCCGGAGCCGCCCGAGCCTCCAGCGCCACCCGAGCCGCCCGAGCCGCCGCACCACCTCAGCCGCCCGAGCCGCCGTACCGCCGGGCCGCCCGAGCCGCCCGAGCCGCAGTTGCCGCCAAGCTGCCCGAGCCGCCCGAGCCGCCCGAGCCGCCGAGCTGCAGTTCCTGCCGAGCCGCCGAGCCGCCGAGCTGCCCGAGCCGCCCTGTCCGGTAAGAGCAGCGCCTCTGTCACTGCACTGCCCTTACCCCACTGTTCACGCTACTAGTCTATTGCTGTAATGGCTACCCCTAGTGTCCTCGCTTTTAACGCTGAGGGTCGGGCCATTGACTTTGACGTCTGGGTAGATGACCTACAGCTTTTCCTACAGTGCGATAGGGCAGACGGTCTCTCCCTCATTGACCTCACCTCTGGTGCCTCTCCTGCCCCTGCTGCTGATGCTGACGCCAATGTTCGCTCACACGCGATGCTGCTGCACGTCTTGCTGTGCGTCGCCACCTGCCTACCTCTGAGCGTGCGCAATTTAGCCAGTACAAGAGTGCTCAGACCCTGTACGACGCTGTAGTTGCATGCTACTCCTCCCCTGCCACTGCTGCACTGAGCCGCCTCATGCTACCATACCTCTTCCCTGACCTTGCTGCCTTTCCCACAGTCGCTGACCTCATAACGCACCTCCGCACTAGTGACACTCGCTACCGCGCTGCGCTTCCTGCTGAGTTCTGCGCCAAGAACCCCCCCCCCCATGTACATCACTCTCTACTACATCGTCACCCGCCTCCCTGACTCCCTTCGCGTAGTCAGGGACCACTTCCTCTCAGTTTGCCCCACCACTCTCACCGTTGACCTCCTCGAGAAGGCCCTCCTAGCAGCGGAGAAGAGCATAGTAGCTGTAGAAGCCTCTCGTGGTGACCCTCGCACCCCCGCCTTTGAGGGGTGTTCCCCCTCCCCCCTTTTGCCCTCTGTTGCCTCTGCTACTGCGGCCGACCTCGTTGGGCTTGAGTCGCTCGGTGCGGCGTCTACCCCTAGCAAAAGACGCCGCCCTAGCAAGGGCAAGGGGGGCATGGGCGCTGGAGGAGCTAGCGGGGGCGGTGGAGGCGGCGGTGGAGGCGGCGGAGGGAGTGGGGGTGGCGGTGGGGGTTGTGGCGGGGGTGGAGGTGTTGGTGGCGGCAGTGGAGGTGGAGGCGGCGGCAGTGGCGGTGGGAGCGGAGGTGGCGGAGGTGGCGGCGGTGGAGGAGGCAGTGGCGGAGGAGGTGGAGCTGGTCCGGGTGGCGCTGCGCAGAGGGTCGGCTCCGGTGGTGGTCAGGGCCAGCAGTAGCAGCGCACTCGTGACATCCCCCCCCATCAGCAGCTCCGTGAGTGGTACGCTGCACGCCAGCGGGGTGGGGGTACTGGTCCGTGCACCTACGTCCTATGCACCGACGACCGCGCGGGTGAGCAGTGTGGGGGTGCGCACCCCACCCAGCGCTGCTTTGGCTGCCTGACGGACACTTGGGGTCACCAGTTTCCGGAGGCCACGGAGATCCCCCGCTGGGGTGAGCTGTCTAGGGTGGGAGTAGCTATCTTTGACCTTGACTTTGATGCTATTCTTGCTGCCATGTATGCTGTGACTATTAGTGATGAGGGTGACTGTTACCGATGTTTCCCGCCCGACCCGGGCATTGAGACTGCTGCTCTAGCTACTGGTGAGGCTGCTGCTCTAGATGCTAGTGAGGCTGCTGCTCTAGGTGCTAGTGCGTCTGCTTCCTCAGGTGCTGGTGAGTCCGCGCTCTCAGGTACCGAGTCGGCTTCGGCCTCCCTCACCTTCACCCTTGACTCGGGGGCTTCTCGCTCCTTCTTTCGAGACCGCACCACACTCACGCCGCTTGGTCGGCCAGTTGCAGTCTCTCTGGCAGACCCCTCTGGGGATCCTGTCCTTGCTCACTTCTCCACTGTCCTCCCGTGTCCGGCGGCTCCCTCTGGCACCCTATCTGGTCTTTACCTCCCCTCGTTCTCAACGAATTTGGTGAGTGGTGCTGACCTACAGGATGGGGGAGTTCACCAGTTCACTCCTGCGAGCCAGCCGGTTACCCACTGCACGGACGCTCGGACGGGCCGACACTTGGCCACATTTACTCCTCGACCGGGGTCGAGCCTGTACACACTGACCACTGCGTCTCCTCCTGTCCCTGCGTCTGGTCTGGTAGCTGCGTCGGGTCAGGTGTTTGCTGCAGCGTCCAAGTCTGGACCTGAGTCTGCCCCCTGCTCGTGTCGCCTCCTGTCTCACGAGACTCTCCTCTGGCACCACCGCCTTGGTCACCCTTCCCTGCTTCGTCTCCGAGGCATGGCCTCCCGTGTCCTTGTCTCTAGTCTTCCCCGGTCCCTCCCTCCCCTTCCTCCGGGGCCTGGGCCTACCTGCGTCCCCTGTGTCGAGGGACGGCAGCGGGCTGCCCCTCACTCCTCCCAGTTTCCTCCGACAAAGGCCCCGCTGCACACGCTTCACCTGGACGTGTGGGGCCCGGCCCGCGTCCGTGGACTGGGTCACGAGCGCTACTTCCTGCTGGTGGTTGACGACTACTCGCGTTACACCACAGTCTTCCCCTTGCGCAGCAAGGGTGATGTCACTGAGGTGTTGATCGACTGGATCCGCGCAGCTCATCTCCAGCTCAGGCAGAGCTTCGGCTCGGACTTTCCTGTTCTGCGTCTGCACTCTGACAGAGGCGGAGAGTTCTCCTCTGGCCTTCTACGAGCCTACTATCGTGCGCGAGGCATCCGCCAGACCTTCACGCTTCCGGACTCTCCACAACAAAATGGGATTGCTGAGCGCCGCATTGGCATGGTCATGGACGTCGCCCGTACGTCCATGATGCACGCGGCTGCCCCCCATTTTCTGTGGTCGTTTGCGGTTCGGTACGCGGCGCATCAGATCAACCTTCACCCCAGGGTCTCCATGCCGGAGACCTCCCCAGCCTTGCTTAGGACGGGGAAGGTTGGCGATGCGTCTACGTTCCGTGTCTGGGGATCTCGGGCGTTTGTCCGCAACTTGGGTGCGGACAAGCTGTCCCCTCGTGCGGCTCCTTGCGTCTTCCTTGGCTTCCCCCCTGACGCGCCAGGGTGGCAATTCTACCACCCCACCTCTCGCCGTGTTCTGTCCTCCCGGCTCGGTTGCTGGGCGGCTCGGCTGCTCGGCAGGTGGGCAGCTCGGCTGCTGGGCTGCTCGGCGGCTCGGTCGCTGGGCGGCTGAGCGGTGACAGGGTCGCTAGGGGAGGGCGACGGGGCCGCAGGTGACGGCGACGGGGCCGCAGGTGACGGCGACGGGGCCGCAGGTGGCGGCGACGGGGCCGCAGGTGGCGGCGGGGCCGCAGGTGGCGGCTGCGTGGCCGTAGGTGGCGGCGACGGGGCCGCAGGGGGCGGCGACGGGGCCGCAGGTGGCGGCGACGGGGCCGCAGGTGGCGGCGACGGGGCCGCAGGGGGCGGCGACGGGGCCGCAGGTGGCGGCGACGAGGCCGCAGGTGGCGGCGACGGGGCCGCAGGTGACGGCGACGGGGCCGCAGGTGGCGGCGACGGGGCCGCAGGTGAGCCGCAGAGGGGCCGCAAGGGGCCTAGACGGGGCCGAAGAGGGGCCGCAAGGGGCCTAAACGGGGCGGCGACGGGGCCGTAAGGGGCCGGAAAGGGCGCCGCGAGGGGCCGAAAGGAGGCCTCGCGAGGGCCGCAAGGGCGGCATGAGGGGCCGTAAGGGGCCGTAAGGGCAGCGCGAGGGGCCGTTAGGGGCCGTAAGGGCGGCGAGAGGGGCCGTAGAGGGCGGCGCTAGGGGCCCCAAGGGCGGCGTAAGGGGCCATGAGAGGGGCCACTAAGGGCGGCGCGAAGGTAGGGAGGGCACACAGAGCGCGACTCGGGCAGGAGTGAAGCGCGCTCCGGGGAGGAAAATATATGTATATATATACATATATATATATCGTGGTGGGCCCTAGGTAGCGTTCCCACCAGGGAACCTGCTCGATACCATGATAAGAAACGAGGAATGGGTGCATTGAACAGAATGAGGAGTACAAGTAGTAAAACCCTAAAGTGTTGTACCCCATATGAACTGCCCCACTACAGCCTACACAGACTATAGCATATATGCCTAACAGAAATGTCAAACAAGCACAAAGGCCGTCCAAACCAAGCCCATTCAATGTCAGAAGGACCAGGTATCTGGGACTCTTGTGTTTCGGGAACAGCTGTGGCAGGAGTGGTAGTATTGGTAGAGCCCGGTGGCGGGGAGTTGAGAGTGGTGTTGTCAGACTAGGTGTTATGGGCGTAGCTAGAGGGATCCATTGTGCAGAGCAGTGAGTAGTGATGAGTAGTGGGTCAATGTCGTGGCTTCTTGTATTGTAGTATGGCTAGTTGTGATTGGTCAATGTCAATCTTTGCATCCGAGTCGCATTTTTTCATGTTTTGGCGAGGCGGTCCGCTGAAATTCAATTTCGCCCGCCAATCGCGTGCGCGGACAGGCGGACAGTCCGTTTGTGATTCGGACAGTCCGATGTCAGAGTTTTGTGTCGTTGGAAAGCGGAAAAAGTGTCATGACAGTTCGAATTTTTAGCGACGTCGCAAACGTCCTCGCGAAAAACTGAACGACATTTAATCGAAAATGGTAACCCTTCGCCACGACGGACTGTCCACGGTTCGTTCCGTCGGGTGAAAAATGGTTACGCGCCTTAACCCCTATTATAAAATCATCCACGTCATCCTTTTCCATGCGCACCAATCTGAAACAGCGTGTTTTCACGTGTCGCCAGTACATCAAGTTTCGATTTCGTTGAAATCCCAAGTGGCCAGACATCGAAATCGCGACTCCCGAGCGGACGTTGGGTCAGCTTTCCTGCCCGTCTGCCCCCGCCACGTGGCTCGCCGGCGCCAGTGCTTCCGGAATCCAACCAGTGCGGTGCCCTCTGCTCTCCTTTGGTTGGTTGCTGCTGAAGCAACGATATTTAACCAGATTGGAACGAAAAGCACACACCAACGCATCGCATCGCAACAACACAGCAGGACTCGAGTGAAGTGAAAGTTTGACTTGCGGCAATGGCAACCACCTTGAAGTGCTCATCAGTGCTTTCTCTCTCACTAAGCTTCAACCTCACTCAAAGCAGGCACCTTCGTGTACCTCACTCCACACAACTCATAGCGAATTTCTCCTCTTCTCAGCTCCGAATCGCCGCGCCAAGTCATGTCCCTCTGCGCCGTCTGCACGTGGTTGCCGTGTCGGGCGGCGACCACGACCGTGCCTTCACACGGCGTTCCTCTCCAACCAAGGTAGCTCCCGCTTTCGCGACTTGTAAATACGTTCCCTTCGAAAAAGGTGGCCCTGTTAGTCCGTGCGATATTGACATTTCAAAGCTAACAACTTCCCTGTGTGCTGCGTGCCAGTTGATCCATGGAGGGCGGCTCGAGCGACAACCAGGAATCGGCTTGACAAAGCAGAACGAGCTCTTCCTCGGGCGCTTCGCCATTATGGGCTTCGCTGTAAGCCGCTCAGAACCTTATTTCTGTTGCGTGCTTTTTGTCGATGCACGGCCCGGTGCCTGATCAGAAATATCAATATTTTACTCTCCGTTCCACGCGACCTCTAACTCTCGTAACTCCAGTTCGTCTCACTAACGGATTCCGTCCAATTGTCGTCCATCAGGCCGCACTGCTGGTGGAGGCCGTGTCGGGGCGCGGCTTGCTATTCCACATGCACGAGCAAGCGGGCGTGCCTGTCACTCAATGCGACCCGCTCGGCCTCTCCCTCGCCGCGCTCTCGCTGCTCGTTGCGGTCGGCGCGTTCGGCGACCGAGGGCGCTTCGAGGACGAGTTGCCGGCGGGGCCGGGCAGAGCGCGATGCACGATCCAACAGGCGCTGGGCCTGCACGACCAAGGTGAGAGGGGAGAGGGCCGAGGGGGGGTCAACAGAAGACGGATGAGAGGGAAGATGCGTTTTGGATGGAGGTAAGTGCAGTCATTTCGAAAGACCAGCGCAGCGACGGACCGTGCGAGAAAAGTAGGCAGTTAATCTCGTGCCGTCGAACCTCCCGTCCTGCTTACAAGCACCTCGCGTTTCCCACGTTAGGGCCATATCGCTGCTGTGCGTCCCTCTCCTCTGGTGCGTGCGTGTGTGCAGGCCCGCTGCTGGGGATGAGCAAGGCGAGCGAGCTGTTCGTGGCGCGGCTGGCGGAGGTGGGTTTAGCCGCCACACTGCTTGGCGAGATGCTGACGGGCCACGGCATGTTGGCGCACCTGAACGTGCACACGGGTGTGCCTCTAACGCAGCTGCAACCCGCCCTGCTCGCCCCTATCATGTTCCTCGTTCTCGCTGCTGCTCACCCTGGTACTGGCCGCTTCGTTAATGAAGACTGATAATGCTTACCTGCAACCGATGTGTAGTGGGTGGTTTGTGAGAATGTACAGGCAGCATGAGGATTTTATCTGCTGACATGATAAAGACTTGTTCTGTAGAAACAGCTTTTCCTTACATCGCCCTGCATACCGTGTACACTTGTTCTGTGATTATCTCATTTCGTTTGAGCTAATGCCTTGTTTACGTGTTGCTTTTGGGCCTTCAGCCCACATTGGGCCGTGGATTCTCCCTCTCCCAAAGGTTGAGCACACGTATAAGGGGTAGATGCCCTCTGTGTAGTAACCCCGGGCCAGGGTCCCAAATTGGTTTTGGTCCACTTTGTCTAATCAGGGTTTCCAGCCAGCTGAACCTTGATTTCAAATGTTGTAGCCCGTAGCGAGGCATGTCATGTGGAGTACAGTTGCTAGGGTTAGGTATACCGTATGTACCCCAACCAGGCCCCTAGATTCGTTTTGAGGTAGTCTGAGGCCTCAGAGTACACCCCTCCTGGAACTCTGTCTGTCAGAGGTGCCTCAAAATTTTAGTCTGAAAATTCAAACAAGCACAAATTTTTTTGTCTGAACTGTCTGAGTTACTTCAAATTTTAAGATGTTCATGCAGTGTCGTAAAAGCAGTTATAATAGCATTGAGGCTGATTACAGCCTACCATACCAACGCATCAGGCAACGTGCTCGTGCTCATGCATCGCCTCTGCTCATGTCGGCGGCGTTCCAGTGTTTTTGTCACGTGTAGCGCATGGTTTTTTTCTGCTCTGCTGATCTCATTTCGTTTTGTCGTGGGTGTGATAACCGTTCTGTACCCATTTTCTCGCATGTGTGCCGATTTTGTCAGTTTTGGATTTGCTTTTCAAGCGATTCGATCGTTCACCCGATCTATATCAGGTGGGCCAAGTGCCACGCAGCTGAGCTGGCAGCAGGCAGAAACTGTTGCTTGGCGTGGCATGTGAGGATCAGACAGTGCCACACGAAACTTTCAGTACGAATCAGGAACTTCGCAATTTACACCAGCGCGTGCTGCAGATGTTTTTTACAGCGAATCAGCATCAAAGTCGCCGCATTCTTTACAATACATTAGCGATAACTTACATGTGACGAGATTTTGTCTTCAGCAATCTCGTAATCACGCAACCATTTCCTCAGCGTAACTGGAAGATATTCTCGACGAACGAGTGTATTTGGATGTCCCAGCTGTCGAAGTGAGCGTTGGTCACGTCCTGGCACTCCACTGCCATCTCGGAAGTGGGCATATCGGAAGGAAACTTCCAGGAAACTTTGCTCCGATAAGCGCGCAGAGTGTATCCCCGATACAAGTCTGAGGCTCAGCCTACCCTAGTAAAATTAGGCTGAAATTTCAGACAACTCATAAGAGAAAACTCTGGAAAATCAGACAAGGTACATAAATAAATTCTTTGAGTTCAGATTAGGTACAAAAAAAAAGTCTGAACGGACTCTGATTCAGACTCCAAAGTCTGATATCTAGGGCACTGACCCCAACTCAGAATAATACAGACATCATTCTGTTTCTGACATGGTATCCCCTAGGTTAGGATCATGTTGGATCCTGCTCCCTCTTTAGCCTCTCGCGCCCGTTGCGCCTAGCCTACATTTCCAGCCAGCTGTACCTTGATGTCAAATGTTGTAGCCCATAGTGAGGCATGTCATGTGGAATACAGTTGCTAGGGTTAGGTACATGTGTTGGAAACAATTGATTTAAGTGTCAGAGGTCCACTGGTGATCCCCGATTGATCCTAGGGAAGGGTTACAGGCACGGTTGCCTGGGGGGTTATGGGCGCACTGACCCGCTACTGAAACAAGCCCTTTTATCCCAATGGTCTAGTGGTTGGGATTATGAGATGGTATCAGAGCTGAGTTCGTCCTGGCCTGTGGGCCCGCTTTACACTTCCGCTGCTAAGAATTTCCGGTCGCGCGCCTAGGGCGTGTGACGATTTTATTTTTACCTTGTCCCGCCCACGGGCGTGTGACTCCTTCCCTGCCCGTCGCGCGCCCCGTGGCACGCGACGGTGCCCTTCAACTGCCCATCGTGCGCCCCGTGGCACACGATGGTGCCCTGCTCGTCGTGTGCCCCGAGGCACACGATCGGGCCCTTTTATTCTACCCGTCGTGCGCCCCGTGGCACTGGCCCGCGACGGGCCTTTCCGCCCCTGCACTCCCTGAAGCCGCCCCTGACCCATATGCACCGACACCTTTTCGCCGCTCTGCGGCTTTCTTCCCGCCCACCCCCCTCCTCCTTTGTCTCCCTGCAGCCGTGGGGAGGAGGGTATGGGGGTGGAGGGTGTTGGAGTGTGGCGTCACCTCTCTCCCTTCCCCTCCTCCTCCTTTCAGTCCCACCGCTGCAGCTGCCGCTGGGGGGGGGAGGGTGTGAGGATGTGGGGGAGCAGGGGGAGTGGTACCGGGGTGGCGGGTGTGAGGCAACATGCAGCCGTCCCTCCACCTCTCCTCTCTTCCCCCCCTTCTCTGCTGCTCCTGCAGCAGTGTGGGGGAGGGGAAGGAGGAGGGTGAGGAGATGGAGGGGGTAACTCTTTAGTGTTAGCCCGCCTGCAGTACCTGCTGTTGCTTGTGATTGTTTTGCATGGTGTACCCCCTCAGGGGGTGTAACTACTTCTCTACCTACAAGCATTATGGGGGCGTGTCGAAATATGTTTGTCATATTTTGTGCTGAGATTGGGGGTGCTGAGCTTGGGAGTGCTGTGCCTGGAGGTGCTTCGTCTCGCCGTGAGCCACTCTCCCCACAGGAGCTACGTGAGTGGTTTGCTAGGCGCTGGAGGCGTGCTGCTGGTGCTGGAGTTTCTTCGCCTGCAGAGGGTGCCACTGCCGCGGGTCCCGGAGGTGCTCGTCTTGGGAGTACTGGAGCTGCTGGGTCTGCGGTTTCTCCTGGAGCTGGTGCTGCTGAGGGTGTTGGCACTGGGACTGCCGCTGGTGGTCCGCCTGTCAGTGCTCCTGGTGGTGCTACTGGAGGTTCTGGAGCTACTGGAGGTGCTGCTGGAGGTGCTGCTGGAGCGGGTACTCCTGCTGGGGGTACTAGTCCTGTCCCTGCTGTTTCTGGCGTCGCCGCGCGGCCCCGACCGTACTTCGTTCCGCTCCTGCAGCAGGTTCTTGGTCTTACACCTTCTCCTGGTCCTCCTCCTCCTCCCTTAGAGGGTCCGCCGCCTGTCCAGTCACAGCCACCGCTACAGCCTACCTCCCCTTTGCCTGCTCCTTCTCCCTACGCTGGTCCGACTGGAGGTCTTACTGAGCGTTGTGAGCCTACGTCTCATCCTGCGTCGCCTGTTCGTACTGCGCGCGCTAGTGGTCGCGGTTCGCGTCAGCGTCCTCCTCCTGTCCCTGGCACGCACCGGATGTCTCTGCGTCCGTCCACTGCTCCTCTTCGTGCCCCTTTGCCTTCGCCTCCTGCTTCCTCTCTTCCTGCTCTTGCCGACCCGGAGTCGGACTCTCTTCGTGCTGCCAGTCCTACTGTCACGCGTCTTCTTGCTACTGCTGTCACTGACCCTTCTTTCGAGTCTTCTGCTGCGTCTGCCCTTGTCACTGAGCTTGTCGACTTTGCTGCGCGCTGTCGCCTAGACTACGCTGCTAGTCTTGTCGCTGAGTCTGAGTCTGCCTGTCCTCCGTCCGTCGGGGGTGAGTGTGCCCTTGGCACGGACGTCCTTGAGGACAGGCAGGAGGAGTTCCAGTGTCTAGCCGCCGCTTCACCTCATCTCGCGTCTGTACTGCTAGCCCCTGAGGGAGACCCAGATGCACAAGACATCCCGACTCCGCGCTCTCACGCGGAGGCGATAGAGGGTCCCTACTCCTCTCAGTGGCAGGCAGCCATGGATGCAGAGATGGCTTCCTGGAAGTCCACAGGCACCTACGTCGACGCTGTTCCCCCTCCTGGGGCGAACATCGTCAGTGGCATGTGGATTTTCAGGGTGAAGCGGCCGCCGGGTTCTCCGCCTGTCTTCAAGGCGCGTTACGTGGCTCGTGGCTTCAGTCAGCGGCAGGGGGTTGACTACTTTCAGACCTTCTCCCCCACCCCGAAGATGACCACTCTTCGGGTACTGCTGCACGTTGCTGCTCACCGTGACTACGAGCTGCACTCTCTCGACTTCAGCACAGCTTTCTTGCAGGGCAGCCTGCACGAGGAGATCTGGCTGCGTCGCCCACCTGGCTTCACTGGGTCTTTCCCTCCTGGTACCCAGTGGAGTCTCCGGCGTCCAGTCTACGGTCTCCGCCAGGCGCCACGTGAGTGGCACGACACACTGAGGACTACGCTCGCGGCACTTGGGTTTGCTCCTTCTACTGCCGACCCGTCGCTGTTTCTGCGCACCGACACCTCGCTGCCGCCGTTCTACATCCTCGTGTAAATCGACGACCTGGTCTTTGCCACAGCTGACACTGCTGGACTCGCCCACGTGAAGTCCGAGCTGCAGAAGAGACACACGTGCACTGACCTGGGTGAACTGCGTAGCTACCTTGGCTTGCAGATCACCCGGGACAGAGCACGCCGCACCATTACCCTGACTCAGTCACACATGGTGCAGCAGGTCCTTCAGCGCTTCGGCTTCACGTACTCCTCGCCTCAGGCCACTCCTCTGTCTACTCGCCACTCGCTCTCAGCTCTGCCTTCGGATGAGTCCGTAGAGTCGAGTGGCCCGTTTGCAGAGCTTGTTGGCTGCCTCATGTACCTGATGACCTGCACACGACCTGACCTTGCATACCCTCTTAGCATTCTCGCACGCTATGTTGCTCCTGGGAGACACCGACCAGAGCACATGGCTGCAGCGAAGAGGGTGTTGCGCTACTTGTACAGTACGTCGGGCATGGGGCTAGTGCTTGGAGGGCGCAGTCCAGTGGTCCTCACTGGGCACGCAGACGCTTCTTGGGCTGACGACCAGGCTACGCAGCGGTCGTCACAGGGTTACACCTTCAGCCTTGGTTCCGGCTCTGTTTCGTGGCGGGCTACCCGCTCGTCTTCTGTTCTCGGCTCCAGTTGTGAGGCTGAG